GTGGCCACAGAATGCTGCAAGCTTGAAGAGCCTGCCCAATAGACCGGATAAGTCAGAAAACTGTCTATTCGACAAATTTGCGGATTCGGTCTATTTCGTGTTTGCCTACGGGCATTTGTTTGACTATTAGTCAGGACTTGTTCTGTCTATTCGGTAGTTGTTTTCGGTTGTTTTATGGAAACGGAAATAGACTAATTAGGCTAAAGAAATTCTGACTATTAGGTTAAATGTTCGGTCTAATTCATGGTGTTAGGCAAACCTTGAAACCCGAAGTTTCCTCGAAACTTCTTGCAAACTGCTGGCGGCTCAGTCTGTGAAAAGTCGCAGTTGTGGACAAGCTAACCCGCACTTTCCCCGCACTTTCCACCAAGTTTTCCTACGCATGCTAGTGGTTCAATGGGCATCTTTACCACCTGACGGCAAAAAGCCGAGCTTTCCTCGTAGTTTGCCCGCAGTTTTGCCGCACTTTGCGTAGATCTATTTCTAGGAATTCGGTCTATCCTATTCTGTCTAAATCGCATCTTTCGACACCGCGGTTCTGCTTCAAACGCCTGTCGATTCGGTAGAGTTTTTTCTGTCTATTCGGTTTGTCTTTTTAAGCTATTAGTCTCGTTGCGGGGCTACGTTTTAGATTGTTTTTTCGGACTGCACGGATTTTGTCTAAAACCACAGTTTAGATCTGTTTCTATGATTTCGAGATTCGGCCGTTTTTAGTCTAATCTAGTCTATTGGGTGACAAATTGGCTCCGGTTCTTACTTTGAGATGGAAACGAAACTGTCGAAAGCACAGTGCATTCAACATCGAACCTTCAATGGGACACCCCATAAAAGGACAATGTGAAATGGCCAAGCTCCGTCCCAGCTGACCTCCCTGTGTATTTGGTACAAGCTTCGTGTCCTGAAACGCCTGTTCAATCTGCAAACGCCAAACTCCCTTCTGTGCGATTGTCGTGCCCATAATCGTCTGCGAATGTCCTTCTCAAATGACTAGGATTTCCAGGAACTAGCCTGTGGGCAACATGGGGGCACCACATGCCTGGGGACAAGACTGCTAGGCGGATCAAAGACATATTACCACTGGCAGGGCCAACCCGCCTCCAGTGCGTTGGGTAAACAAAGTGCGACAAACATGGCAATGGGTAGCTATCTACCGCATCTATTCTCATCTGGCCGAAAGATTCGATCTAATTATTTGGCGGAAGTTGCACGTTGTACTTCTTTACCTGGTGCGAAACAGTGACGCCACGGATCCCCCCTTGGCAAGATTAAAACTGCCAGAAGCCATCTTGAAACAACTTCATTTTCATTCAAGGCACGGTGATTCCTGACACGGATGCTACAAATGGTTTGCTCCTTTTAGGTTTCCTTATGCTGCCGAAATGCTTTGCACAAGGAACTTTGAAGCTTGTGAAAGCGCACATCTTCAGCAAACCACCCACACCGCGTGCGGCTCTCACGTTTTCGCCGAGGTGCTCAGATGCCTTGTAGGCACCAATGCCTCGGTTCGCAAGAAGCATCTTTGGCCTGGGAGCTGAAGTAAGGTGAAGACAAAGCTTCTGAACTTGAGCCCATTGAAGCAAACAGAATGGCCTTGGCTTCAACGGACCACTGAGGCCTTGCAATGAGTCAATGTGCAATTCCGGTTCACGCCGTCTTTGAACTGCTGAGGTATGGCTCCCCTCTCAGCAGCCGGCGCAAACACAGGGTCGGCTTCCAGATGCATTTCTCCAGATGCAAACGCATTTCTGCCGAGGCGCCAGTGCCGACCAAGCATCCGAAGAAGCAGTCTAGCATGATTTGAGCGATGGAAGACGAGAGTTGCTAAACTTGAGCTCAAACTCTCGGCAGCAGGCTCAACACGACCGGCACAGCAACATGCGAGGAGACTACGTTTCACCTCGAAGAAGTATGCCTTGATGACCCAGGCATGGACAAGCAACAGCAAAGCCAACTCCCGAATCAACATGCATTCTGCTCCAGGGTTTCTCCGGGGACCCTGGCAAGGACCACTAGAATCTAACCTAAAGAAAAAGCTGCTTCTGCCTTGAGGTTTGGTCAAGCTGCACCCGATCAAGCTAATTACTCTGACCGCACTCCGTCAACACCGGGACCTTTCCACATGGCAACGTTCCAAATAAAAGTTGACCATCTCTACCCGGGGGGGGGGGGGTGTGGACATCTTCCATCGCGGGAATGCTATCAATCGTGTCCCGCGTTCCCGCCGCTGGTCTGGTTCTCGGTGTGCTGCAGGCTCTTATGTTGACTGGCGGTTTAAGCGGCCTGCGGATCCCAATCGGCCGTAGAACCCAGGCATAGCCCAAGGCTGGTCCGGAGCCAAGCTTTCCAAACGGGAAAAGGAATGGACATGTTCATGCTACACTTTGTTCAAACAAGTTACGTTTTACGTGCTCAGAAAGGGCACCGTCCGGGGGCTGACGATCGGAAGGAGCGTTGGGGGCCAAAAGATCCACCTGGATCCATTCACTGGGCCCCGCACCGGAGCCCGCCTCATGAGAAGAAAGGCGAGCCAGCACAAATGATATGTCAACATACAGCAAAGGGAATTCTTGCAAGGCCCCCCCCCGACAAGGCCAAGAATGCTCTTGATTTCACCTGGTGGCTGTGCTGGCTGCTGTAGCACTAATCGGCTGGCCACCCTGCCTGACGGACAAATGTGCCTACAAGCATGATCTCTTTGCTAAACATTTCTGGCCTCAAAGCCCCTGCAAGCAAAACGTATGAAGGCTCTTGACTGGCCAGTAGGAAGCTACTATACTGCTCCCATACCCCCCCCCCCCCAAGAATCCACACACGGCGGACGTGCGCCGAGCGTGGCAGGGTCTGAGATCCGCCCAGGAGAAACAACAGTTGTTAGTCGTTAGTACGTTTCTTCACATCACATCTATATACCCCTGGTATGGAGTTGCGAATCTGTGCGTGCTTGTGTAATATAGGCGAACTGACGAGTGCAGACTCATAAACATCCATGTTGCCGGTGTTTGATGAGAACCTCCTCTGGGATTGCCAGATTTGGGAGCCCTTACGCAACACTACCATCATAAGGCCATGAAATGCACCTGTGGGCGGATCATGGCTGACCCTGAAATTTGTAAAACACAACAACGCATTCTCCGGACTCCTGCGCAAGGGAACTGGGTCTGCCCACGGTCGTGGACGACCTGTGCAGGTCGATGTTGGCAAGGGTGAGCGGATGACAAAAGGGCAAGCTTGCGAGTGGCGGCACATGTGCTGAATTGCAGTGCTCTAAGGGTCCTGGCTTCGTACCACGACCCGAAGCGCTTTAGGGGTCTCAAAACAAGTGATTTTGGAGCCCCAAAATCCATGAGGACCCAAACATCGTGGGGCAGCGTGAGTATGCGCCGCGGCTGCCTTGTTCCAAAAAAGACCAAACCTGAAAGCCAAGTGCAGACGCAAGCAGGAACTCATTGCACGCTGGCTTGGGTCTCTCTAAAGCCTGGACGACAGCTGCAGCCATGCCAAAAAAAGGCGCATCTAAATTGTGCGATCACTCAAGGTTACAACGTAGCCTTGAACTGTCAAGGAGCGCATCTGTTGTCCAAACTCGCAAGCAGCTGCGCAGCATAGTTTTGGGATATGCTGGGACGAGAGAACCCGCCATGCATCTGATCATGCGAACTTCGTGAATTAGCACCCTTCTTAAGACAGCAGTGGTGCATCAAACAGCGGGTGGGAGCGCAGATTGCCACCACGCCTGGCGCTGGAATCCCAGGGTTTGGCGGACCAGGGAAGAGCCTAGGCAGCCCAAGCGTCTGGCGTCTCGAGCCTCTTGTTTGGCCTCCCTTTGGGAATCCCTTGAGCTTCATGTCTGCTGCATTGCTGAAATCAAGTGGCAAGCTCTTGACTGCAGGCTTCGCGGTGGCACTGTTCGTCCCAGGTAACCAGGAACCGAAAAACCCTGCGCAAACGCAAGCGCAAATGGTAATTACGAGCAACCTTCTGCCTGGAATGCGTTGCTTTGATTGGCTATACTCTGAGCTTGCCGATGCGTCTGTCGCGTGACCCAGCGATCCATTTCTGACATTAACGAACCCCATATTCGAGGATAGTGCCTGTCTGAACGCAATGCAACTCAAACAATGCAGGGTTACTGTGACAAGAACACATTTATGTATCTCAATATGCGGCATCCACGAATCCAGGGTCGACTCTGGGGCTGTACCAAGGAAGCCACTTTCATAGCCGTCCACTCACTTCTCAGCCCAAAACCTTAGAGAAGGAAGTATGACCAAACAGGAGCCAAGTCTGGTTGATATTCCGCTTGGGGTTTCCCTCCACCATCTCTGAGCGGCCTGGACCCATGACCAAGTGTCACCACCAGTCCCTCCAACTGCACAAGGGCCGCCGTTGCCCAAAAGGCCGGACATGGGTCAAACTTGAGACCAATGGACACCCAGGAAACTCCGACAGGTCGGCTTGGCACAACTGCTTGCCCCATGGCCCGGCTGAATACCGGAAGCCCTCATCCTAAGCTCAGCACCTGGGGCCGGGAGCCGCTCTAGCCAGGCCCTTGGCGCGCATGGGGAATTCCCTGTACCTCTGTCTAACATGCAATTTGACTGAGGGGGTCCTACAACATGGAACTTGACTGAGGGGGTCCTGGAAGACGATTTTCCTCTTCAAGGGATATGCTGGTGGGTTCCATGTTTGTGGACAAGAGTAACACATGTCGCCCGTGGCTGCATGCGGCACTTGACATTAGCCTGTCATTCAAAGGAAGGATGAGCTCTTTGGGCAAAAGCGCCAAACTGCCAACAATCAACTCTTCGAGGACACTGTCTCGCCCAAATGCGTGCCAAAACCTAAACCACGTCACTATCACGACACTATCACGACACTAACAATGATGTAGTTGTTGGATGGCATTGAAAATGACCGCAATTGAAAATCACCGCATTAACGACATAGCCGACTGCCCATCTCCCACTTGCTGCCTTCTAGCTGTCAGCGCGGCAACATTTTTGCTGTGCACTGTCTATGGGCATGCCTTGGTTGCAGCTCATGAGCGATGGCCCCTACCTACTGCATTCTTGCAGAAACATCTGAATTTGCCTTGCGGCGTAGCCCGGAACACTGTTGCTCCTCATCCTGACTTTTCCAACATTGCCCGCACCAGCACCTGAGGGCAACGCGAGTGGCCGCTTTCAATTTGTTCTCTGGCACACTTGCTTGAAGTAAATCGGCTTCTCTTTCCGGTCTTCAGGGCGGCCAAAAACCAAAAGGCACTGGTACATGGCAAGGTTCCACCATGTCGTTACAAACCTCCTGAAAGCTCCTTCCCTTTTTAAAGGCAAATTTGGATACCCCCAGCTTCCGAACGGCGCCGAACATGCGGTAGGCTGGACGTGTTTGGATGCGCAATCCCAACCGATGGCTGGGCCTGTTCGCCCTGGATCCGATGTGTGTGCTCCATGATCACCCCCATAAGTTGCACCGCATCCTCTCGGGAAAAAAAAAAAACGAAGACGCGGCATAGGATTGCCACTTCCCCTTAGCAGTCCATGCACCTCACCAGGTATTCGTGAACTATGTTTCCGGACTCCTCATCTTAACGTGCCAAAGAGATTTATTGCAGGAAGCGATGAATGGACCCAAGCTGGTTCATCACACGAGGGAAACGAATCTAATATTTGCATCATTGACAATGCTCTAATTGTGTACCAAACGAGGCTTCAACATCACCTAATCGGAAAAGGACAAAGAACAGCAAAGAAAAACCGGCTGTTCCCAGTTTGGAGGGGAGCCTTCATTTCTGAAGGGCACACCCTCAGGCACTTCAGAAGCAAGAGTGAGATAGTCGGGGGCCGTGGGCCGAATCGAGCGTTCTGATTCTGCGAGCTAGTTCAACGTTGGATAAAATCAAGTGAATATTTGAATTCTTGCACCTGCTTTTGCGTGATCTAATATGTAACAAAAGGCGGTTGATAAACCTACTTCTTGCCAAAGCCGGTTTGGGAACAGACCTGTCAGATCCTTTCTTCCACCTGCATGCCGCATGGAAGCCATGAAAGCCTAGCCTGGCCGCGTGTTGGGGGGGGGGGGGGCAAAGGGGACATCGAACCTTTGACCTGGACCTAGAGGGGCCTTGGGGGCTAAATGATTGATTTATCTCTTTCTTTTTTTTTTCTCTCTCTCTCTCTCTCTCGCTTTCTGGGAGCACTATTCAATTCGTGATTCTGTCGCTTATAAATTCATGTTTGGCACACACACAAATTATTGATAGAATCCATATGAGCTGGGATTGAGCCCATGCGCTCGATTTCGTGATTGTAAAAATCCGCCAGGTTTGTTGCGGGGGACAGCCTTTGAGGATGATTCAATTTAAGTAATGTTGTTGTTTGTCCGTTTGTTCAGCAAAGCAAATAATTCATACTGACAGGAATGGAGAGGCTTTCCCGCGCATCAAGAAAGAATGGGTCGTCATTCATGAGTTGTCATGGTATCTCCCAAGTCATTGTCTTAAGCACCAAATTCACCATCCATCTCAGTCCCGCACATAGTGGAAGCTTTCTCCAATCTACGCTGATGGAATGCGTCCAAGACCTGGGAGCCCTCGCAAAATCGAGAATTCTGCAGAGCCATGGGATGTTTGCTGGGAGTTAGGACTCAATTGGGACTTCCAATTTGATGAATCGCAGTTGAATTGCCCTTGGTGAGGGGGGGACGGCATGTGATGTTTCTATGGTTCCGTGTGTTCGTTTCAGCAGTCCTCTGTGAGCTCCGGGACCAAAGTCAAACGGCCCTCAGAGCCGCGCACTTGCGCATTGATCGCCTTGCCGTAAATGGAGAAGTGGTCCTGTGGGAGGGTCGGGGGGTGGGTATCTCAGGGATTTGTGACAAACCTGAATCCTTCTTTCTGCATTCAAGTCAAGTCCCTATGCTGCAGACAAATATCATCCTGGAATCAGCCTTGTGGCCAGCCACCGACAATAAGTATGGGCAACCATCATCAGTATCCCAATGCACTTGGTGATTTCAAGCGGGTCGCGGCAGCCTCCCCTTTTCCCTCAAAGTTGGATTGCTATAAGGGCCAAAATACTTAGAATGGGGTGTGGCACACTAAGCCAAATTACCTCCCGGCAGAATCAGGCTTGTTTTGCCCCCGAAGTGAAATATGGTGCGCTCTGCTTCCACTTGACCCCAACCGGAAATTCGTCGATTCGTCCTCCAGGTCCGCGGCAGTGGCGTGGTGCGGCAAGTTCTGCACCCAAAGCGCCATGGCAGTTCCGTCGCCTTTGTGGCGCTTCAGGGGCCGGGCTTCCTGCTGACACTCGCACATCTCCAAGAAGCTGCGCAGGAAGCTCTCCTGGCACATGAATGAAAGCCCCTGGTTGATGGGGTGTCCCATTTCGGGGATCTTTCATTTTTGGGGAAACACACACCGCCAATCCACTAGGTTGATGGACATGACTCTTCACATCAATGCGTGAGACTTGATGATTGCCCTGATTTGCTGAAGTGGGAAGGGAAGTGATCTTGCAACTTTGCTCCGCTCAAATCTGACTGCATAAACGATTGGGGTGATTACGCTGAATACGCACAAGGTCGCGCCTTTCCTGTCGTATTGGTTTGGCTCAACTTTAGAGGCTATCTGAGGGGTGGCCGGACAAAGTAGCAGTTGCACAAACAACCTTATTTGCGCTGCCCATAAGAACCACACTCCAACAAGCTCGATGACCAACAGTGTGCCGGCACCTGCCCGCTCAGAGAAAGTTGGTGCTCACATGCGTTCAAACAAGCTTGGCCTCACAGAATAGCCAAAGCAGGTTCAGCGTTGCTGATGACACCAAAGATTGTCGTCATATGTCCTGCTTTCTTGTCTCGGATTTCAGCTGCCAAGCCCCTTTGCCCACCCAACAGGGCCCTAAGTATCCCATAGCATCCAATACACTTGGGAGGTCCCACTGATCCCGGCCGCTGTCAACTCGTGTGGGATGATGTCACCCTCCTCGCCTCGCACTGCTTCGGGTCATGGGGCTTGTTCTCCTTGCGGCACATGGCCGACCAGGCTAGCAGGTTGGTCTCATCCTCCAGAAACTCCTCCACCTTGCCTTAAGATCTGTCAAGGGAGGCGTCTAGCACCCGCAAGTAATACTCCTGCAAGCCCCTCCCCACATTCATACATAATCATCTGGTTTTGGTGGAGCATCCTGGCTGGAGGGGTTGCCATTCCCTTCGCTATACATATTTTCCCCAAATAGTGTTGACCCCGGATTAGTCCTATTAATACCGGGTGCTCCTTCCGGAAGTGATGAGTCCGCACTAAAAAGGCACAGCCCCTATTAATCAATCTGGGTTTTTGCCAATTCGGGGTTTCCATAACCAGCTTCCAAAGGTCCTTCGCAGGTCTTGAGGCGTGTGTCCACGAAACTGACGGATGGGGCTTTCGACAAGCCACGGCATGGCTTGGCAAACATGTTTGACTGTTCGTAGCTGGGGTGACGCACCACATATTGGCCAATCAACACAAGTTGGAAACAAGGCGTTCCTTGAATCAGGACCATGATTTGTAGCAGAATGTAGCAGGAGGAACCCCTGGTTCAATCCACGCAGGACGCACACATCCTTTTTAAGGCCCCCCCTAAGGTCTGTTTTGAGAAAGCATAACAAGCATGCACTCGAAGGATCGGCAATGAGGATACTCCAAGGGCAACATGAACAGCCTCCCCCCATATGGCGAGTGTAAAAAACAACACAAAAGCGTACAGCAAACAGCATTGGCAACATGATTCAAACAAACGACTGCGGCAAACAATCAACCAGGCCAGGACGGTGGCATAGCAAGCTCATGTCCAACCTCGCGCAGAGGTGAAGCATGGATGTCGTGGGTTCCCCCGTTTGCAGCGGACAAGCATGGGCCTTCAAGTAGGTGAACCTTTTGGGCCCCTTACACAAAACCAAAATTGTCTGGCAAGAGAGCCAAACGGTCAAAGCTTTGATTGATACGTTTTTTTAGCAACGTGCGTGGCTGTTCAGATGCCCAGCTCGCTTCCCGCCCAGCTGCCGGTGAGATCCTCAGCTTCGCTCGAGGATTGTCCCATCTGCCGTAGGAAGGACTCCAGCGACTCCCGCGTGTGCATGTTGGGGCTCCACTGTCCGCCCTGGCGCTTGAACCACTGGTTCCACTTCCTGGGCAACCGGGGACACAAACACTTGCTGGTGTGACAGGTAGGGAATGACCGTTCCGGGTCTTGAGAAAGAACCCAGGATACCCTTAAAGGAACTTAAAGGAAACTATAGGGGACAACTTCCGGCCAATTCCAAACTGCCAGGTGTGCGAACCCCCATCTAGCTATCCATCGTTCAAGGGATTTTGGAGAGGGGGCCGGTTGTGCACAATTTGCACCTTTCATCCTAGTGCTGCAGCAACTCAGCAAGTGTTCAAACCAAAAATATTGGAGACAACAGCTACTTGTAGGTGACCCACTGTAAAGATTTTGGCCATCCCTGCCTGGAGGAGAAATCGAATTAAACAACAGGCGATGGTTTTCATGTGAAATGCAATGAGCTAGCTGCCAGCTAAGGACAAAAGGTGACCAATTGGCACAAGAGCATGCAGCGCATGAATCACATGGGTTGGTTCTACGATGCAAGGTCGATTTGCATGGGTTTGAAAGAGCACCGCCGTTTCCTCACTTTCCGTGGCCCAGTCGAACGCTCCTTATGGTCTCCGAGTGTCGCCTTGGCTTCCGGCGAGGTCTTGGTGAGCGACCGCACCTGGCTCACCAACTCTGCGGAGGGCATCGACGCGCCATCCTCAAAAGCTGCCATGTCTCCAGGGTCTCACTCGCTCTCAGCTCTAAAATTGAAAGGCATGTATTAGAAAACCACGATCAAAACTCGGGAAGTGCGGGCGTCCAGCAAAAAACTGCACTGCGCACTCGGCTGCGCACAGCGCCCGACAGGACCCTGCGGTTTGCAGAGTGCGCCTCAATGCAAACCACGATTCGCATAGGCAACATGCCAGCTTTAACAATCGCGCGGATGCGCAAATCCTCCGCGGTGTTCTTCCCATGTTGCACCTTTGCACCCGGCGAGCGTTTCGAAATGACAGGGCCAAGTGTCTGAAGGCTACCGGAAACGAAGCTTTGCATTCTTGCGCTTCGCTTTGATTCTCAGGCCTTGCAGAGTTTGCCCAGCGTCTTAAGCAAGCTTCTATTGTTCTGGCTGTGATGCCACTGGGCGCTTGGAAGCAGTTGTGCTGCACTGTAGTGGGTGTGCAGCAGGCACAGTCACCCATGTATAAGCAGTTGTGCTGTGGCGGGTGTGCTCATCGCTTTGCCAACATGGGTGCGCTCGTCGCAGTAGGGCAGTGCTGTGGCGGGTGTGCATATTACTCTTTTGGCATGTCGGTGTGGGTTCAGTCATCGTAGTAAAGGTTGTGAGCTGTTGCGCATTAAGCTGAGAGCTGCCCGAACAAAGGGCGATAAAGAAGGTCCCGCGCGGGCAGCGGCACCTTGATTGAAGATGTATCCAACAAGCCCACAACATATCACACACCATACTGCACACATCCGCATTTTACCCACCTAGAAAAAACGTCCCTGCATATAACGTGGGCACATGAATGGCATCCCAACCGCACGCATATGATAAACCCAGGTTGCACCGATTTGCTCATATCCCAGGCAGTCCTTCTCCCAAAACTCCAGGAACTCTTGCAGTTGCATGGCGTTCTGCTTGCGAGGGTCCGGGTCCATCTGGCCAGTCCTTCCAGAAATCCGACATCCAGCTAAGCGATGCGCAAGATATCAGCCATCACAATCTTTCGACGGCTACGTATGTAATTAGTTGTGTACTGTCCAAATGGGATTAAACATTGCACGCGTAATAAAGACAACTGGGGGGCCCCAAAAAAATAATACATGCACCTGGATTAAAGACAAGCACCCGCCACCCGCGCAAAAAAAAAAATCCCCCCCCAAAAAAGAAAGAAAGAGAGAAAGGAGAGGAGAGATAGCCAAGCCAACACCTGGTCCTTGGATCTTTGGTACCTTGTTCCTTAAATCCAAAACTGTCAGCTTTACCAAACCCATGTTTTCTTACACGTCTCTTGTTTAAAACCTGCAAACAATCAAACCCACAAAGGGGGTAGTACTTCAGCCCCCAACTTGGCATTATTTCAGGGGCCCCCGAAATAAAGTCTTGTTGCCTGGCCCCCCCAAGAAAAACAAAAGGAAGCTCCAGCAATACTAAATCAAATGGAAACTCAATCAAGTCTACCGATACTAAATCAAATGGAAACTCAGTTCCAAATCTCAAAAAAGAAGCCCCAGCAATACTAAATCAAATGGAAACTCAAGTCTACCGATACTAAATCAAATGGAAACTCAGTTCCAAATCTCAACAAGGAAGCTCCAGCAATACTAAATCAAATGGAAACTCAAGTCTACCGATACGAAATCAAATGGAAACTCAGTTCCAAATCTCAACAAGGAAGCTCCAGCAATACTAAATCAAATGCAAACTCAAGTCTACCAATACTAAATCAAATGGAAACTCAGTTTCAAATCTCAGAAGGAAGCTCCAGCAATACTAAATCAAATGGAAACCCAGTTCCAAATCTCAAAAGGAAGCTCCAGCAATACTAAATCAAACGGAAACTCACTTCACCTGGATCTCAAGACACTATTCCAGATACCCCCATCGTTGAGGGGGGAGGGGGGGGGGTCCCCCCTTTACTAATCCCATTTGGACATTATGCTGTATGCCATTTAAAAGTTTGCCCTGATGAGATGCGTGCAAGCGTTTATGCAAGGTCATCAAACGGTGTCCCAACAAAACAAACGGCCAAAAGGAAAAACATCGTTACAGGGTCAATGCTCGTCTTGTCCAACACGTCTGGAGCAGGCGCCACCACCTCAAAGCTCAACACCTTCCTGTTGGCTCGTACATACAAGGACCTCATTTATGCATCCAACAGCACAAGCCTTCTTGTGGCTCGCTTTTAGGGGAATTTAAACTGCAAACGCAGACACACACACACACACAAACATATGTAGAAGATAACCATGAGACGTGCTTTTCCTCGCTTTTCGGCACTTATGCCAGCACCAGCTATTTCTTTGGCGGTGGACGTGCGCACTGAGCGGGGAAAAAACATGGCACTATATATATATACATATAGCTATTCAAATAAATATATATACACACTGTTCACCCCGTGTACATTATATTGAATATGGTCTCTTCATTTTCCGCCTTTCCCACAAACGCTCACTCCTCCGGCAGTGCTGCTCCCAGGCCACCGCTGCGGCAGAGCAGCGGCCCTGCAGCTGCTTCACCTCCCCGGAGTTTTCCCCCCGACGCGATGGACACAACAAGCGAGGGGCACCTAAGGCGAAGCAAAACCTCCATTTGCTGAAGCCCTCTGGAAAAAAACAGAACATATTTCCAATAGTGATAGATTCCCTTTGAAACCAACAGGGGAAAATGAGAACTATTCTTAAGCGAATGGAAGCAAACGGAGGTTTACACAGGTGCTTGAAGGTGTTTAAAGCAGCTGGGGGTTGGACGCAATCCAACCCCCCCCGCCCCCTCCAGGTGCTAAAAAAACATGTTTCAACAGGAAGCTGTCCCAAGCCTAAAACTACCCCCCCACCACCCAAAAGAGGTTCTGAAGGAACCTTCTGAAATGGCGTTCGGAGTGAGGCTCCTGAGAACATTTCTAGGGGAAGGGAATCCGAACGTCTCGCAAAGAGGGATGAGTTGGTCCAACTTGATGTTCAACGGTGAACCCTGGCGGGGCATTCATTTGGCTAGTCATCTGCAGTGACAGTTGTCGCTTTGAATTGAGGTCTTGGCTCAGGCTAGTTGCCTCTCTCTTCCTAGTTGGGAAAACAAAAGGCATAACCTCGCAAACCGGTCAGAGGGGAGACCGCAAACCCGCGCGCTTGGCACCCCAAAGTGGACTATGACAAAAAAGGGGGCAATGCAAGGCCGCTCCGGTCTGGCAGGGGCTTTGATGAAGTTGGCGGGCTTCAAAGTTGGCAAAGTGGTTGACGGGTGTCTTTTTTCCAAACTGGGAAAAAACATATGGCGCCTTCCGGTACTTACCACCCACAATGCCTGCAGGGATTCTGAGTAATGCCCGTGCTCTTTGCGCTCTCCAACTTTGTTGCAGGGTTGTGCATAGTAGCCGCCAACCACGCAAGGAAAATCATGGATTCTTCGAGTGGCCCGAAAAATGTGGAACCCCAAAAAGGCCGTATGATGGCCAGCTCTCCTTCAGGCAGAGTCGGAGCCAAATAGGAACAGGGCGGGTCAGCACGAATCAAAATCGCGTTAGATGTGCTGGAACGGAATGCAAACTATTTTTGTTCGGGGGCAGGGCGGTAACAGCGACTGGGTTCCCAACCTCAAACCACAAGTTCCCAATACACAGCAGCAACTGAGGCGTACCTAATCAGCGTGGTTTTCCAAGAGAAGAGGGAAAACATATTGGAGGGGGTTGATGAACGCCGTGCTTATAAGCTTATCAAATTGGCATGCATGAAGTTGTTACGCGCCCTGTCGCAAGAAGAGGTGCTGGAAACCTGGTACCTTGCCAAAGTGTGTGGTCCCGAAACGGCCTGTTCTCTCAAGCAGCCTGATCACGTCAAGCACGCTATAGGCGCATTTGACAGCTTTCAGATACATTTTGTATGATCCTAAGCATCGCCGGGGCGATCTCAACAATCCAAGAAAAAAACGCACAAACAAGAACATCTGGCCTGCGTGACCAAGGAAGCTGCTCTGCCTGCCATCTCTCCGACCTCCTGGGCGGTAGAGTTCAAGCTTCCGAATTCGGAACTGGCCCGAGTCAGCCAAAAACCATCGAATCAGCGTGCCGTCACTCTCGCAAGTTGACCTTGTGGGATACATCCCCGAAACGAGGGCGGTGCAGTGCGAGGCACCACCCCCTAGTATCCTGTTTGTGCAAACAACCGCACAAACCCGGCATGCAACTTATATCTGCTTGTGTTCATGAGAGCGCAAAAACATCAGCTACTCCAGTCGCATAGTCTTTGAGTCAACTGTTCCTCCGCTCACCGCAGTCGAAACCCGTCAGCCGAGAGTCCTCAACGAACTTCGCCAAGAACTCCGCCGAGTAAACGCTGGGGTCGGGGCCTCTGCCCCCACCCTTGGTGGTCCAAGCGCGGCGCCAGGCATCGCTGGCCATCTGCCCATGCTCCGACATCAGGCACTTCACCTGAAGGCCCCCCGCACAAGGTCCTTGTAAACAGAGCCATGTTCTTCCAGCACTTCAAGTTCCATGTTGCGAGGGTACCTTGGACTCGTTGGAATCCGCTGGGGCGCGGAACTTGCACAATGCAGGCATAACATCCGCCAATCAACAGTTCTGTTCTGTAAAGAACGAAAGGCATGAACGATGCAATACTACCACTGGTACATCCCACCGACGCTGTTTCGCGTGCCGTGACCCAGGACCTGGAAACCCAGGCTGTGCCCACTCACGGGCAACACTACTGTGGGACCATCCCAAAAATTAAGAAACAAGGGTAAGGAGCATAGGTATGTGTCAACACCAGGAACCCTACTTTGGCCGATTCTTAAAGGAAGCCGATATGCATGAATCCCCAACCAGCCTGTGCTGACCCTCCCACATTACACTCGGCCATTTTCGCGTGGACGCCACAAGAACAAGGTTCGACTAAAGATGATTCTTCAAGCTGGTTGCTTGTTTTGGCCCGAAAGAAAGGTTCCAGTTCCACCGTGGACTTCCTCTGAACATGCTTTTCTGAATGGCGTGTGAGCCACAGTCAAACTCATCTTATCAGGTTCTTGGACCTCCAAAGGGAACACGGGATGGGTAGGGTCACGTTCAGCGGAGGTTTACCAGACAAAAAGGGAAATAGGTTCCCTCTGGGTGTTTGCGGTTTTATTGGGAGGAACCAGGGTTGTGTTGTGTCTTCAACAGAAAAACAAGGTTCCAAGTTTAGTAGGTATTCAAACATCCTGACGCGGAAAGTGGCCCAACCCTGGAGGAAACCCAGATGGAGGTTGTCTTCTTAGGAACCTGCCAACTCCCTCCCTTTGGATGTCAGGGGCGACGTTGGATCGGACAGTTTATAGCAGAAGGGTGCAGTTCTAAGGAGCTTTTCACAACCCCCAAGCCACCTTGAACCACCTCAAACCACCCCAAATCACCAAAGCGTCCCCCCCCGAAAACGCCCCAAAAAGGCGTCCGAAGCGCTCGCGCCACCAGCGCCGGCGGCGCCGGGCGCTCCACTGGCGCCGCCGAGGGCTTGGGCTTGCGCTGGCGCAGCGCGGCGGCGCGCGCGGCCAGGGCCATGGCTCGGACGAGAACGCGGGCAACGGAACCCACAGGTTGAGACAGGCAAAGGGAAACACGAAACATCTCGAACATCTGGGGGTTGTGTGTGAAGTTGGTTTTTACATGACTGGGTTCCACTGAGCCAATATAGGTACACAAGAAAGATCTCTCTTTTGTGGGAAGCTGTTGAATGGTTGAATAGAAATGGTGATTGAAAATGACCCGGTCAGTCACTGATACCAATGGTTTGACGACTCCTCTCTCCCGCTCTCTCTTTGCAGTGCTATCCCGCGAGTTTATGGGATCAAGGACCTTGTGTCCTGCTTGCGGGGTCCTGTCAAGCAAGTCTTCTGATCCTCAGAACTGGGTTCACCGATTGACTCTTCTTTCCACTTGACACGCAAACACAGAATATCTGCAAGTTCAGCGCGCGAACCAGCCACAACCTCTTGCCACGTGCAAAGCACGTACCCTTCTCCTTTGAGCCTGCTGCCTACGCCAAACAAGCATCCACACAGTGTGGCTCACAACTGTTTCGCTTACGTGCACTTTACTTTGAAAACGGTTAGACATGGGTGCTGGTTTGAAACTGGGTTGCCTTGAGTAGGCCAACTTGCCTTCCATGGGAAACAATGACATACTCAGGGCGTTGCATCGACTCCTAATATCCAACGGACAGCTGTTCTCGATACAGGCAAGACGCACTGCCTGCGGCGTCTCTCCTGTTTGCCTGCCTGCGTTTGATTCGCATGGCCAATGTTGCCAGTCAACGCATCTTACTCCTCCAGGCCCGCATCAGTCGTGCAAAGCAACGCTTGAAGTTGAGGTGAATACTATAAGTTGATGGTACAAGTGCAGCGCTCCGCTTCCATTTCATGCCACAATGCTGACTGAAGCCGCTGTGATATCACAAGTCGCCCCCAAGCCCAACACTCGCGTCACTCTCAGGCCCCGGCAGCGGCAGAAGCAGTTCCGGCATGCCTTGTGGCGATGGGTGCACTCGCCAGGCGGGTCCCCGCGCGTAGCCGCACATATTTCTGCTCCCCCTAAAACCCGGACAACGCCTACTGTCGAACAAAGATTCCAAGGTTGGCACGGTGTTTCCCGAGCATGTCAAGTCATATCCGGCTTTCTCCCTGGGCACTCAAGAGACATCTTGGCAACGGGACCTGTTGGGATCCGCTCTCCAATGAGGTGCTGATGAACAGTCCCCCCAACCCACTCAGTGAGCAACCCTGAAAATCGGAGTTGAACTTTCGGTACGCCCCCAGAAGTTGAGACAAGTGTTTTTTTGGTTTTCGGCCTTCAAATGCCACTTCGGCTGGGAACATTCACTTTCAGGATTTGTCTCAGGCCGAATGGCATGGTCTGGTCAAAGCCCCGCTCCAGCTGGGCCAAAGCCTGGCGATTGACCCCATGCAATGGGAACTGGATGCAATCGCCTCTCTCAAGGTTGACAGGGGGAAAACCGGGGTTTAGAAGGGGCTCCCTCGGGTTAATCCGTCCTTTCCTGTGTGGACCCCTGGCTGGTCAATGGGACTGCAATAGGAAAGTAAATGAACTTGAATGTTCACATTTTCCTGGGCTGGCTGTTTCCGGCTAGCCTTTTTTCTGGAATGGCACCCCTTGAGACTATGAAATCTTGGCAACGTGTTGGCAATTGTTTTCGTAATTTAAAAATTAGTAGTTTTGTATTTCTGAATTAAGGGGTGTCTTTTGACAAAGGAGGTTTTGGGAGGTCCCCCACCCAAGTGCCGGCATTGCCCTTGAAAATGTCACTTTGCTAAACCCAGTGCCCCCCACCCTGCAGACCAACATGGAGCACCCAAACAAGGTCCCCCGGTTTAAGCGCATTCATCTAATAGAATGGTGGATGTGTGGGAGCTATGTCAATCTGCAGGGGGTGCCCTGAAGGTATCTGAAACAACTGAAGGTATACCAAAAACCATGGTAGGACATCACAAGAGAGGATTGCCCAGGGGTTGACGCTGCTCAGCTGAATTTGTTGTTCTTAGCGCGTATATGCGTGTATAATATATGTCTATTGGAAGCATGCGGTCTTCCACGTTCTTGCCTTGTTGCACCTAAGGATTGCACACGCAGGAAAATATAGACTGGTCTTGCACTTGCTCATTGATTTCACCTACTTGGAGCCCCCGCTTCAAACATCAGAACATCAGAACTAACATATTTTCTCTCGGAAAGGCCCTGAACACGGTGAAGACATGCAGTCATTGCCCTGCACACTGTTGCACTCGCGGCAAGGGACGGTTAACATATGGCACCTTTGCTCTCCAGGCCTACCCCCCCTGACAGGCTTCAAACATCATTTTTGTGGGCAATTCTTCATGCAAAGGCAGATTCAACCTTGAACTGCGCCACTTAGCCCCACTAGCAGGCAGGACCGCAGATGAATCATGTGAATTACTTTCAGGAGACTCAGGAGCCTTGATATAGACAGGTCTTTGGCTTCACGCTTTTCCGCGGATAGCATGCACGCAGCGTCGCCGAGAAAAAGAAGCACATCAGCTCTGACGTGGGTTTCCCGGTCAGTCAGCCAAGTCCAACGAGCATCTTCCCAAAGCACCTCGGGGACGTCCACTTTGCCGTCCGGGCCTCGGCCAAATAACGCTTGCGACTTGCTGGATGCAGGAAAATACAAACATATGTAGGTGTACATGCCCAAGACTGAGATATGAACTTACAATTTACAAGGAGCAAGTGCGCTACCCCATCAACGTGGCGAGTGAATTCAAAGGCTTTAGCAAGGTAGCGCGTGTAATTGCGTGCACGGAAACGCTCGGCCGCGAAACAAGCTGAAATCAGCTGGTAGCAGAAACGCTGTGATGGACAGTCCTGGTGGACATCAGTTTTTGTTTTTTGATCTCTACTCGTGATCAGGCTGTCAGGCTATCCATCCATTCCAAGCGAGTGTGAGCTGCAGCGCACAGCACTCACTCGCCAGTGTCAGCCTGCGCATTCCCATGACCCTATTCTAAGAACCTCGGCATTTGGGCAAAAGCCACAGGAGCTTCTTCATCTGATCCTCGCTCTGGGGCAGTAGGCCTCAGCTACGAAACGAAGCGGCGCGTCGAACGAGACTCAGGTGCAGATTTGGCCGGGCGCTCCATCCAAGCGACGGAAACCACGGAACGTGATTGGTGGTGCCCAAAATGCTCCAAGAATGATTTCTAGGTGTGGGCAAATACCCAGCCAAAAAAAACACATCACACACATGCCGTCTTCAGGTTGGTATAATCACCGTGCAGCCATGGATGAAAGCGTGCCGGGCACCTGACGCTGGACAACAGCTTGAAAATCGCCTAGGCGAGGTGGCATTCTGAAGTTGATTGTAGGCCTTCCTCAAAACGCAGCCCCTCATATACCTTTAACTTGCCCAAAAACCGAATAGGACATGCACAGGAGACAAACCTTCTATCAAGATTGGGCTAAGATGGCTAAGGGTTAATAGCTCGGCTTTGGGTTCGAAACTGAGATGAGTTCAGGCTTGGGATCAGAACGTGTTTGAGCACAACCTGCAGTCGTGCTTGGCTCACAGTCCGCCAATTGTAAACCTGGTGCAAGCATCAGCAGTGCAGTCATCAGCAGACATTGGCTCTGGTGAAGACGTTGCAGGGTGGGATTCTTGCATCACTTTGCACAATGATACCCCGAAAGCCATGAGAGCCGTTTTGCCTTCGCGCGTCCAGCTCTGGAATGCCTCATGCGGCATGCGGAGACGGCAGAGTCGGCTAAGTCCGGCACTTTCATGCACCGCTGTGGCGCCGTCCTGGCAAAGCAGCCGGTAGATGGCAATCCTCGGTAGCTCAGGGTGTCGCCTCGCCTTGCCAGCAACTTGTGATAGTGGTTTGGCTTGTCAAGTACGTTTGATGGAGCCAGGCGACAAGTCATACAAGGTACAACATCTCAAGCAGGCTGCGTGCGCTCCTTTCAGGGAATCATGGATGGCAGGGAGATGGCATACATGACGGGAAAATTGGGCAAGCCCAATTTTCCATGGATCCAACAGAAGCCGCGTGCACTTGCGCGCGGCTCAACCGAGGCCCCCACGTATCGCTGCCGGACTCCGCACGCGACCCCACCGCCTTGCACGGAGAAGTGTCTTCAAAAGTGGCTCACAAGCACTCCATGTTTGCTGGAGATGATGCCTTATGGGGCGTGTGCAGCTTGCAGTTGTTTTTGGCTTGAAAGGTTGCTTTACTCCCGGTTCGGACCAAGTGAGTCGAACGCAAAGCTACACATCGACACGCTGATGGCCCACTGGCACCCGGCTATCTTACTGTCCCCAGAGCTAACACACATCAGCCATGTCAAGTAGCCACAAGTCTCCAAAATAGATGACTTACGCAAGTCAGCTCAACCAAAGGCTGGAAAAACACCTGCGCAGCCTGGGTGTCAGCCGATACTGTGCGCTGCTTTGCATGAATTGCCTGCACGCCACTCCCCCTTTCTAAAAAACCGGCGACCGGCGCAGGAACATCTACGGATTCGGCGAATACGGGGCCAAAAGTGCAACACTAGGTCCTCCAGATTTTCTGTAGCTCACTTGCTGAGTGGATGGCCAAAAAAAAGTCCAAACTTTTTATTTACCACTAAAATGGTCTTCCCAAAAAGTTTAAAGTTCATGAACTCAGGAAGAGGTAGTCTATTTTAGTAGGGGAACCCTCCCCAAAAAGGGTAAAAAGGCACCACTGGGGGACCTAGAGCAAATGCGATCGCTACCCCTAGCCTCTGTTCCTCGTCAACCTCCGGTCCTTCCATGCGTGCCCGAACCCAAATAGAACCTACTGAACTTCTCCGGTGGACCGTGGCGAGTGAGAAGCTGCCGCGGAACGTGGTTTCGCCATTTGTTCCCGAAAGGAAACCAAATCCAACAGCCACCATCATGAGAGGGAACTTACCAAGTTTCCTTGCATTTGCACCCGTTGGTAGCCGCAGCCTTAAACCCAGTCATCCCAGTTTCCTCCATAGCGACCAGAGTTGCTCACGGGTTTTGCCAAGGATGGTTCCTCTGGTTCCCTATTCCTATGGCACCTGAGAAAAGGGGCATCTGGGCTTCCCAGCGCCCGGATTCAGCGGCTCCAAGTTCTCGTCCCGCAACGCCCTTGCGTTGGCCGCAGCGGCGGCGGTCGGGATGTTCAAAGCCAAGGAAATATGAGGATCTATCCTCCCACCAAAAGAGTGGACAGTGAAACTTGAGATCAGAAACCAAATTGGTCTTTCCACGACCTCCTCCAATCGCCGTCTTTGGAAGGAAAACAGATCATGGCGGAGCAGCTTCGGGGAGGCGATGCGCCGACCAGTTGAGTGGGGCAATCCATGAGATTCAGCACACTTTCTATGTCCAGCATGTGTTCAGGACCTTCCTGCCAGACATAGCACACATGTGAAGCATGTCGGTGGTACTCACACCCCGGTGCGTGATTGGGGGTGGTAGTCCCCAGACGTCATTCTACAGCGGAATGTGTCCAAAGGTTTTGTGAAGCTTACGCTAAAAGACTGCGAGGAAATCTAGGGTGCTCCCTGTAAACACACCTGGACATAAAGTGGTTCAAGACAGGCGTCAAAGCCAAGATCGGCTCAGGAATTCACGGGGATGGAATTTCGTGCGAAAAATGTAATAGATCACTGAGCCAACCTCTGACCGCTGCACCTGCACCCATCAAAAACACTGATGTCCGTGCTGCTGATAGTTGAACGTATCATCGGCTGTCCACTTTCAGCCCCGTCCAAATTCAGGATGCACAAACAGGGCCAAAGTCACACTGGAAATGGTTGCACCCACCGATCTTAGTCCCAGCAGCATAGCCGGACGGGTGAAACCCATCAAAGAAGCTAAAATGTGCTTTATCTCGGGCCCTCGGAAGCGTGGATAATCCGGCTTCTGCTTGCTTTGGGGGCAACTGCCCATCCACCGTGCAACGATCACCAGAATGAAGAGCCGATGCATTGAGAAGACAAAGGCGCTCTGTGGCACTGATGGGCCTTTGCTTGCTTTTGCTTTGTGTACTCATGCGGCACCATCCCTGATACAAACTCCTTCCCATGCCCACGGAAACGGAATCTGAAAGCCAATAAGGACAGTTTTGACGGCTCAGGGTGCCGCTCAGGCAAACAACACGTCAACCAATCGCGAGGCTTAGCACCCTGGCCCAAGATGTTCGAAACCTGGCCTTACGGGTTTCGAACTGATTCGTTGTTCGGGAGCCCAAACTGCTTAAGACCACATTTGCATTTGTAGAAACTCACTGTGTTTTCAAAGGGGGGCATTTGTATATATATATATATATATGCTACCCCCCTTGAAATACTCAGGTTTTTGACCAGAACTGAGGTTTTTTGGCCAGTATATATATATATATATATATATGTCAATGTAGGTATACATACGTATATATTTGTGTATATATATATGTGTATGTATGTATATATGTCTTTATATACTGCAAGCATTGCCACCATCAAACGACCCAGCACCCACCTCCAGCTGGGTCCCCCGACTTTGTACCTACCCCCACGATGCGTACGTTCCACCGACACGTGGCGGCCTGCACAGGGCTTGCAAACCGGGCGTTTCCAATTCTGGCTACTTGCTGGTGCGATAGGCAGTGAATGAGGGAATGAACCTGGGGATTCCCTTAAATGATTCCATAGGGGATGGTTTGTAGGGGTCATTCCCTCATTCCTTACTGAGCACCAACAAGAAGAAGCGTACTGCTGAAATTGCCAAAGCAAGAAGAATCATCCACCGAACTCTGAGCACTAAACACCTCGCTTCGTGGGTAAGCGGACTGAACAAAAACGAAAACACTGGATTGAGGTCTTCTTAAAAGCAAAGTGCTGTATAGCAGGGGCACACCTTGCACAATATATCAACCAAATTTGAACACCTCTTCTGCACATGTAAGCCTCGCTTTTTAGGGTTAGGGTGCATCGGATGGTTGATCTGCGAGGGGCTTAGGGTTCACTTAGGGCTTGAGGTGGGTTTAGGGCTTGCATTTCAGGGGTGGGTTTGGTTTCAGGCTGGTCATGGGCGCGTTTTTGGCAGTGCTGATGTCAAGCTGGTTGAGCTTGAACAGCTTTTCACTTTTGCTGGTTGGCATCATGAAATCAAAACATCGATCCCTGCAGGACACACCAAACCAGCGCCAGCCCGCTTCATGCAACTTGGGCTCTTCCTCAGAAGTTCTGCATCAAAGCCCTTGACGGTTTGGTTGTAGTACTTGGCGAGGCGTCCAGTCTACAACTCCTGCCTCATTACGAACAAAATGGAACTTGGCAACCAAAACACTCCGGTTAAACCAGAACCAAACTGCCAGAAAAAGTATGTGCAACCCTCTCTCCTATAAGTCCCAATGACATGCGGCTCGTTCAGCCCCACTGCACTAACCATGTGCCTTCCAGGTCTCCACCACGCCCTCGCAGCCATTGAGCTTGGCGCCTAAGGCGCTTTGCAGACCTCGGCCCATGAAGTGACAAGTGACAGGCAAGGGCCTGAAGTGACGAGTGCACTGAACCTGGCGCGTGCATTCGCAAACACGGGCCAAAGGCATTCTGACATAAGACGACTTGTTGACATAACTGTTGAAGGCCGTGACGGCGCATGTTTCGTCCAAATCTGTGCAAAATGTGCAAATGAGAATTCAGCTGCAGCCGCAAGCTCCAAGGTGCCGGCTGTGAATGCGAACCTGGGCCCCTGGATAGACATCGCGGCTCTTCACCTCAGTTCAACGGGGTCAACAGTGCCAACCCAGCCCGCCACACAGCCTACCACTCAGACAAACCAAGCAACCCTGCAAGCCCCTCCAGTCAAGCAACCCAGAGACCAATTGAAGCAAGCCAACCGGCAAGGCAAGCAAGCAAGGAAACGAACCCCGCCAAGTCGCGTCCTCCGTTTGGGTCGCCTTTTGGGCCAACTCCCCCAGCAAGTTCTTGGCCCAGTCCTGTGCCGACGTGCTTGGTGCAGAGACCCGTTCAAAGCAAAGGGATGGCATTCTTCTTGTTTGAGGTTTTGATTTAGTCTACAGCTGCTAAACAAGACGGCATGAGACGGCAACTGTTTGAAGCGGAAGTTAGACAAGTCACCAAGCAAGGGGTAGGACCCTTTATCCCCTTATCCCCGAGGAACAGCCGGTGTCTGCATTACCTGGGGATCCTGACTTTGACCCCCACCTCCTGCAGACCTCGGTTTGTGTTGCAAATGTGCTCTCTTTCGTGGACCCTTCCGTAATGAACCAAACTCATGAAGGGAACGGCTTGAAGGAAGCCGCAGAAAGGCAAGCAGTAGAAACACAGAGTCTGAGAGTAGGCGGCTGGCCAGGTAGTGCAGAATGTATTTCCCAAAGGAGCAGCGGTTTTTTGGGGTAGGATTCACTTGGACACCTGGCTTACCAAAAGACCAACCCAGCGCTCGCTCGCGATTCTCTTCTCTGCAGCTCCTCCAGCTGCTGAACCTCCGGAAAAACGCCTCAGGCATCGATGCAGGCAGCACCAGGGGTGTGTCCCTCTTTGTTGGGGGCCACGTGTTGGAAGCTGGTGTCTTAAGTCTGTTGAATCTAAACCAGCCCAAGGGCCTTGACATATCTTGAAAGCAAGGTCGCTTCAACAGGCTTCTGATCAAACAATAAAATGCTTGCCGGTGCTCAGTAGGGAATGTGGGAACGAACCCAGGGATTCCCATAAAGGAAACCACAAGGGATGGTTTGTAGGGGTCATTGCCTCACTGCCTGCTGAGCACGAGCAGGACTATCTGTCCGATTCCCGCGAGCTGAGCGTGGCCAATAGGTGCCCTGGCGGTGCAAGGCATCGCCGAAAAGATCCACGGGAACATGGGTCTCTGCTGCCTGGAGGAAGATCCGCACCTGCGCAAGGGCCCGAGAAAGGGGTATCACGCTATCACCCTATGACCCATTCAATTTCGCCCGAATCATGGACGGAGAAAGGAGTTTTTAAGTATCAGCGAAGCAAAACACAAATCTGCCATAGCAAAAGCCAAATCCTTTACCTAAGAAGCCAATACTACATTACAACATGCAACCGATGCAAGGCTGGCTCAACTACGGCGATTTGCAACATGCAAAGAAGGCGGACGAGCTTCCTTTCAAGCGGCACAGCCAAGCAGCGCACATCGCACTGGATCCTAGCTCCGATACTGTACACCAAAGGAGCTGGCGCGCAAAACCGTGCCGGCGAAGTTGCAGGCTGCTACGCACTGCGAGGATCGTGCTGCCAACATGTTCGGTAACAAAGAAAGCACACAACGTGAACTGCCCTGCTTGTTTCTTAGTAGTCACATCCACACGATGCAACATAGTGCCCATCGTCCATCGACCCCATTTGGCTGGTCAACCGCGTGGGTTGCGGGAGAACTGAACGAGGCACCAGCCATAATGTCAGACTGCAGCAGACTGGCTTGGCGCATCCGTTGCCTAGCGCATGCCAGCAAACATTTAACGGGCCCACTTTTTGTCCCTTGCGGCGTGTCAAGAAAGGATGCTGCCTTGCTGCATGTCCAGTGAGGTATCATTTGCCTCCCATGGTCCAGCATGTCCAGCAAAAAAGCAGACTGTTGCCAGGGCGGGTGACCAAGCTCGGGACTTTAGGCATTGGTGTACGCGAGTTGCGTTGGCATCCCTTCAAGAATAGAGAGCTGCAATGCTGCGAAGGTAATCAAACTCCGGTTGAATCGGTTCAAACAGTGTTAAAGGACATGCTTGGGTCTGCCTGCACTTCTAGCGGTACCCTACCAGGGCCTGGGGTAAAATGGGGTATTAACCGTCCAATCATGTCTAATCAAGCGCAACTTGATGCAGTTTGGTCGAAGGAATGAATCGCTTCTTGATGGTCCTCCACACTTAGTGACTTGTTTGTGTCCAAGCCAGTGCAATGAATCAGTCGGCATGTGCACGATCGCGGCAGGTTCCATCCCTTGGGTTCGGATCGCTCAGCGGTGGGCTGCCACCAGCTTCAAGTGCCCCATGGCGATGTCGTAGGCGCTGGTGATCCTCAGGCAGGGAGGCGGAAACCAAAAGGAGCAGCACAGAACAAGTGGACCAAATATGGGGCTGCAACCTGGGCATGGAGAAGCCATGGTGAAGCCTGGCTGCTCTTAGAATGCAATCCGTTCCAGGCATGGCAGCCTCCATGTCACTTGCTGAGAGCTAACCTCCTGAATTGCCAGCCATTGGGGACGGATTGAAAGGGTGCTCACCCAGGAGTCTTGGGAAACAACACATTGCCCGAAGCCTTGGTTTTGAACCTCACCTAAATTCAAAAACAACTGGGAATATTAAGGTCAGGGCGCCAAAGGACGGCCATTTTGTGCATTACATGGTGGTTTCAAGGAAGCTATTCTAAGACTACTCTGAGATGGGTACATCAAGAATGAAGAAAGAATGGAGGACACCCTTGGACTGAGACGGGCACCAGAAGAAACTGGCCTTGGAGTCCTGACACCTACTTATCGCTTCTTGGCCGGCATGTTTATGGACTCAGGTATGACTGATTGGCAGCAACAGGAATCTTCTCTGAGTACAGCTCCGCCACTTTCAATGAAGCCCAGGAAGGAGACCCCTCAACACACTGCCAAGTCTCTGCTGGAACTTCTTGGCCGCCTGCTCCTGGCTTTGGGTTTTTGGCAACTCCCCAAAACGAATCAAAAAGCTGTGGTTATAGTTGGCCCAACTATAACCACTGGGGCAACTCCTTTTTATCAGAAAAACAACTACCCAGTTGAGCATGCGTTCTTTTTGCTGTGTGGGGTCTTATCATTTGTTACTTGCTTACGCCACGCCTACGCAGCCCACGCCAAACCGACTACTGCCACGCGAGACCAGGTTGACTAGCCGTCTGCCTACGCGCCCGCGCAGCAACACTCAACACATCAACGCATCTAGGGCTGCGCAAAATCTCCAAAATTGCAACTTGCCAAAAGTGCACTTTGGCAGCTCGAGCCACCCTGACAGCTCCAGCTCAGAATCGCAGCTTTTGAGTACACGCGCGCTCCCGCGAAATCTGATGCTTTGAACGTGAGATGCTGCGTGCTTGTGGGATATGCAGGGCTTCGCCAGCCGTCAAACCATCTCCACAACCATGCTTCACATCATTCACCCCTTCCTTAAAGCACCTGCCACATGACTTGTCAACTTGTCAAATCGTCGCCTACGCAACTGCCAACGCGAAGCCTCCCAACACAAGCATCTGCAAAACGCCTGCACACGCCTATGCAGTGGCCCTGTCAGTCAACTGCCTACGCAACATGTCAAAAGTGCCGCCACGAAGATGCTGGCCTTCATCCCTAAAAGAATGGCTGCCCAGTGGGAGTTGTTGGTATTTTTACATGTCTAAATTACCCATTCCGATGTGTTAGCAAGAAAACCCCTAGGCTCCTGCTGCAGCCCCGGATTCTTGTCCGGATGATGTTGCAGCGCAAGGCGGCGGTAGGCCTTCCGCACCTGGCAGTAACGAGGGAAAGCCACGAAAGTGTGGGGGTGAAATACGGGTTCCGGGAAAAAAGCCAAACAATGAACAACATGTCCGTCCCATTGGTTTCGTGAGGTACGAACAAATGCCTTAAGAGCTAGCCGGCAGTTGCCCTTGGCCGAGGTTGGCAAGTAGCGGCCAGGGCAAAAGGGCCCCCAAAAGACTGAGCTATTTGATTTGTTCTTGCAAAACCTGGTGGCTGTAGATGGATGGGGCAGGGTCTGATATGGGGAACCTTTCTTTGATTCTTCACCTTCGCCAGGCAGATTGAAAGAACCGAACGGGTGCCACTGACCGGGGCAAGACTTGAGAAGATCCCACCAAGCTACAACTCCAACCAAGGCCTACCTGATTTCACCTAGGCCAACAACTGAAATGTGAGAGAATGCACTGGCTGTTTGGCCAGCGATTTGTGACATCATCCATTGCAACTCGACACCGCAACATGGTGCAACACACTGATCGGTATGTCAAATGCTCGTCTGAATGTGCGGATGAATGTTAACATTGGATCAATAAATGCCACTGAGTACTAAGGCGCGTTTTCGGGGTCCAATACTAAGCAACTCTAAATTCTGAAACGGGCCCCCAACTAGTGCGGCGCATTCGTCAAAACCATTTCCCGCACAAACAACTATTCGACTTCAACTCTGTCGGAATCCGATTAATCTGAGGTTTGCCCTTCGGGGAGGGGGGGGGGGGCTCTTGATTCGAAGTTAACATTTCGTGACACAGTGCCAATGTTGTAGTAAATAGCAGCAGCAGCAGCAGCAGCAGCAGCAGCAGCAGCAGCAGCAGCAGCAGCAGCAGCAGCAGCAGCAGCAGCAGCAGCAGCAGCAGCAGCAGCAGCAGCAGCAGCAGTAACAGCAGCAGTAATAGTGGTAGTAGTAGTAGTAGTAGTAGTCGTAGTCACGGCTTGACCTACCTACAAATGTTTAATTCAGAGGTGGGTTCCTCAAACTAGTCGCTCCTCCAAAAAGGGTCTCTTTGCTTTTGGATGCTTTTGGCATGCCTTCAAATGCCAATCGAAAGGAGGTCCGAATCCCAAAGGCGCCTGGTCCTGAGGCGCCGTGACCTCGAGGCCGAGCACTTGGAAGGCGCTGGCCACTTTCGTGGACGCTGGCGGCGGCGGCGCTGGTGCCGGCCCTGGAATCGGAGGAAACGCGTGCGGGTGGCCGAGTTGCGAGGCCGCGTGCTCATGTTCAAAGCCCGAAGGTTCCTCGTTGCATGTCAGAGCCTCAACTTGTGTTCGAACATTCCTTTGCAGCTGTACCTTTCAAGTCTGCTGTTGTGCAAGCCATGATCCGCACAACGGAGGCCGCGCAATTCAATGCGGGCTTGGGATTTGGTATTCAGAATAATTGCGGTCAGGCAAGCAGTTTGGCTTGCCAAAAACCAAGAGGAATCAGTCATGGTCCCCTGCCGCCCCAAGGGAGAAAACGTTCAACTGCGCTGAATACAGCAAAGTGGATGAAGTGTACTTCTGGTATCTATGCAGATCTATACTCTATGCATTGCCCGACTCCACCCCTCTGTGCCCACAGGGCATGTTAACCAAGGTGCGCCGAGGCGGAGGCTGAAATCTGTTCCGATCTGTAGCGCTTTCCTCAGGAAGAACTCCCCAGCTCCTGAGTTGCGTGCGGGCTTCGGCCTGCGGTGGAGCCCCAAGGTTTTGATCGGAAGCCCCAGCATTTGTCGTTCTGGGGAGCCTTGGCCATCTCATGTTGTGACACTAAGCCATCGTTGGGATCACTGAGTTGGCTGGCAATTACCCAGACCACTTCTGCAAGCCTACCCCGTGCTGGCAGGCTGGGAGTAGGTACACGACTTGCGCAGGATGGCCAAGGTTCTACGATTACTCGATACGACTTGGGTTAACGGTCAGCCCCAGCATTTGCCGCAAGGGTCCTTCGACATTCTAGGGCAAGCGCACTCGCACGTTGGCACTAGTTCACTCCAAGAAGCTTCAAGACTAGCATGGTGACGAGATCCTGGCAGCGAGGGCGCACATGCGAGTCAGCCGGAAACCATTCCGCAGGAGACGGCACGTTAGGATACAAATGCTCCTGAATACCTGCACACAAACGAGAGCCTTAACATGCAAGCATCGGAGCCCATCTGCTCGCCGCGTAAAAACAACATCTGAACACGCATTGCTCGACTGCAAAGGGGCACAACCCGCGTTCACTAAGACGAGACACGAACGATCACCAACCATGACTGAGTGCACAAGCCTCACACGGACTGACAGGTGTGAAGAATCACCGCGAGGACGTGCCCAATACCTAGCCCCTGCACAGGTCAGGATAAAACGGTGCCAGACACATGTGAAACACACCATTGGCGAATTGTGGGCTTTGAAGTGGGAGGTGGCTGGGGGATGTTGAGGAACGGGCTGGCCATGATTGCGCCCACAGGCCGCCTCCAAATCCCCTGAGGCCAGGATGTTGTGCTTGATGCACTCTTTCCGCAATTCCGAAGGCCTAGCAATTGGTCCGAAAGAGAACTCATCAGCGAAGTCAAACAGCTGAGCATGTTGCAAGAAAGGAAGTTCTATTTTGGGTTGCCTTCAAGCAGAACACAAAGGATAACAAAGGAAAGCACCGTGTGTTTGGCAGTGTCGGATTTGTAAGGAAGTCCCTCTCCATAGGCATCCCATGGCTATGGACCCGTGTAGAGTAAGAAACGAGTATAATATAATGAAACCATCCGTTGGCAAACCTTCGTATCAACGCCCAACAGCCAAACCAAACGCACTGACATAGTGCTGCGTGTCGATTCGAGTCAAAGCTGACATTGAGCAAATCATCAGCCAAAACCCTGAAGCCGCTCCCACGCTGTCAAGATGAGAGGCCTGAGCTCCTGCCAGACGAGATAGTGCTTCAGCCGCGAGATCATAGCAGCTTTGTCTAGGACCTCGTGCGGCAGACCCAGGAGTTTGTACCTCAGGTCGCCAAGGATGGCGGAGTGTGTGCCGTGGTTGAAACCCCGGCCCCCCGCAAGTCATGGCCCTTCAAAAAACAAAGCCGAAACAAACGGCAGAAAGTGTGAAACCAATCCAGCCTGGACAAGCCGGAAGTCGAATGCTGTTGCACTCTAAACATGTGCAAAACGCATGCATCTATAGTGTGACCGCGGAGAGCAGAGCAAAGAATGAGGAGTTGAAGGGGAGCATGCTTGGAAACTAAAGAAAGCTGAGACATCTGAAGTTCAGGCTGCCGGTGTTCTTTCTGGTTGGTGGAGCACACCATGCCCGAAAGAAGCAACGATCAGTTCATCATTACTTGGGAACCAACTCGGAGTCGCAATACCCAGACAGCAAACGAGAGATGTATCCAAACACTGGTGGCTGGCACCCGCAAAAAATGACAGCAAATGGTTGGACAAAGCTGCACACTTGTCACAAATGAACGCAAACTCAATTTGAAGCTCGATCTTTTGCACTGAGACGCGAGCTTCAGAATGAATAACACATCAGAAAGGGTGTAGCGCATTTTTGGCCTGATGATTTATAGTGGGCCCCACTCTTTCCACACAAAAGAGAACGATCATTGGGCAACCATCCCAGTATTTCAAACATGAACTACAAACCTGAGGCTCGAGGCTGCAGGTACATGTGGCTCATGATAGTTCAGACTTCAAACAGCCCCTGCCCAACCAACCTCGATGATTGAACATCACACCAGTTTTTGCTCAAGCGGCGCATCCTTGACCTTCTCCTCTTTCTCCTCCTCCAAGCGTGCCAGCTCCTGGTGTGCCGGGGCAGACCTCTTGTGACTTGCCAACAAATCCCTAAACCCACAAAAAAAGGTAGGTCGGGTAGAATAGGATGTATAGGTATCAGGTGGCTTCGCAGTGGTTTCACACAATACTTACCCGCCTGCAACATCTTTGACCCAACGCGCGCCAAACGCTTTAACTTGTGATGCCCAGTGGCACAAGAGTTGACTCAGGTAGTGAAGACAGTTCTTCAAGGTATCGGCAGCAAGGTGATGACATAAGTCTGACAAAAGGGACGGCCAGTCCAGGAAATCAGGGTACCGATTTTTGAGGGGCCAGGGGGTGAATGATGCTAGGGTTATCAGTTTAGGTCCTCAACGATCATGATGGCAGCTTCGATGCTGGTCAGGCGGCCAACGGGAATGCCTGCAGGTGATTCAAAAGAACACCTTCCTTTAGGAAACAACAAAAGCGTAGCGCGCCTCAAAAGGTACCATTTCAACACGTTTGCAAACGCTGTATACACTGCTTGCTGGCAATAATAAATTAAAGCAGCCACGTTGCGAGCAGTGCTGCCCTTGCCCAACCAACAAACAAATGATAAAAACTGAACCCTGTCTGGTTGTAGAGGGTACACATTCGGGGACGCCCACTCTAACCAATCAACCAGGGAAAGGCGTAGCAATCGTGGGCACTCTTTGAGCAGTGCATCTTCAAAGGCTCGGTGCTCTCTTTGGCAACAATTTGGCCATTGAAACCGACATTCCTGCAAATCAACATGGAGCCCACAACGCCTCCTTCTAGGGAGCCCACAACGCATGTTAATAAGCAAGAGTGCACGCGCTTCCTCTATGCAGGCCTCTCAAGCCCGCCCGCCTTGCTTTTCCCAACCATCCACGCCCAGGCTCAGGATGAGCTTGTCCAGCAGCAGCTGCCGATGGGACCAGGGCGAGAGTCATGCATTTGTCTCTTTCACCATGCCAAGCCACCGCTACTGTTGAATCCCTTGCACAGGGTGTCTCCAATGACCACCTACGTTTCGTGGGTGCAGGTAGGGGAGCATAAGGTGCACGTTTCACGTTGTGGGTCGCATGCTCCCTGCTTCCTTGCCCTGGCCCGGGCGCTGAGACTCCCCGGCCAGCGCCCGGCCGGGAAACCGGTTCCGTCACCCCGCCTGTCGCTTCTCCTCCTGGCTGGCGTGCGCCAACGGGATATCCCGCGCCTGGCACTCCTCCTGTAGCTCCTCCACCTGCAGACATGTCATCCATGACTCCGTCGATGACCATCTCTAGCAAGACCGAGAAAGGTGGTTTGACATATTGACTAAAGGCATGGTCCAAAACTGGAAAAGTTGAAGGAAATTCAAGGCTTGCCTTGGACCACTTAGATGTCTTGTCAGGGAGGTCCGGGAACCCTCTGACGAGCTGAAAAGGATGATCTTGACTGTTTCGTAAGGAGCCATGCCGGACCCTCCACAATTTCACAATGAGCCTTGGTGGCTGGCCGTGTAGGTGAAGAGAGCGCCCTATTTTGAAGGGGGCGCAAATCCGATCAGGTGCGCCACAGTACTAAACAAACACAGCAGTTTGCAGGTTCCAAACGCTAGCCGTTGCAAACAGGCCCAATAAAATTGCTTTGGCCGTTCAAAAACAAAACAAAACAACAGGCGGCCACAGCAGGGTCGCCATCAGCACAAACTAATTGCTAGACTTCACCAAGCAGCACTAAGCAGCACTAAGCAGCACTAAGCAGTTCCTAAGTAACAGCCTGCAAGTGGGGGCTTCCCTCGTACAGTGGGCACGCCCCTACCACAACCCTCAAGCATAAAGTCACATGCATTTCGAAGGCCGGGCGAGCCTCCAGCTGCGACCAAACCAGCGCCTGCTTGAGCCTTCGCTGAAGCTCTTTGTCATCCAACTTTGGCTCACCTGTCGCAAGGCCTTCTTTGAGAGGTTTCCCACCAAGGGAAGGGGGGGCAACAAAATCAGGACCTGAGCAAACAAAGGGAATTGGGAATACAACGTCTGGTGGCGTGTGATGCCCAGTTGCTGTTCTTGCTCGCTCTCTGATGCATCTCATTTCTGCTTCGGGGACGTGGAAATCTTCTAGGACCGTTTGCAAACTGTGAGGGGCAAAGCGAACAAGCTCACGAATTCTGCAAAGTGTGTTTCTTTCCGCCGGACTTATGGAAATTCAAGCCGTGTGAAGCCAAACTTGACCCTGAGACGTGGGCGCAGCAATCAACATGAGCCCGTCCCCTTTGCACGAGGACTGGAACCAGGACTTTCGGAAGCCTCTCCAGCCAAGATAGCTCCAACCGAGTCACCTTCATGTGGTTTGGCCTCTGACCACTTGAATTCAGGTTAGAACTGCGTGAGAACTGCTGAAGGCCTGAACTGGTCAAAGGATTCTTGAGCAAACGGCGCACTTACGCCAAGAAGGGTAATGGACCTTACTTGACCGACTATTGGAGCTTGTCCAAACTCAACAAAGAACACATTTATTATATAATGTAATAAATGCATGCAAATGCATGTGCAATTTCATTTGGTCGGAAACACATTGGTATATATATATATGTATATATTGGTATACGTTGGTATATACAACTACAACATTTGTTGCATTCTTCCCATGACATCTGTTGCTATCTGGCTGGATTCCCCCGCTTTTCTCTCGGCACAGCCGTTCCCACGGAAAGGCATGACCGACAATCAAGAGACTGCTGCTTTGCAAGGACAGGGGCAACGGACGAAGGACCAACTCACTACCAAGCAAAACATAGCTCAAGAAGAGAAACTGTTGCGGCTTTGGGCGGGCCAGTCTGAACTGAACTCAAACTTCCCGGAAGCTACAGGCACGGGTTGTTACTCGTGGGAGGGGCTCTTAGAGTCTCCTCTGGTAGAAGAGGTGATGTCTCAACCCATATCATTTAAGCCCTGTTCAACCCACTTTAGGACGTGGACCAGTGGGCTTACGGCTTACGCGCTTCCTCTAGCTTGCTGGTGCTCAGCAGGAAACAAAGGGAAGGACTCTTATACACTATCCCTTCTTGTTTCCTTTACCAAAAATCCCCGGTTCCTTCCATTTCTTATTCCCCACCCATCCCACCAGCGAGCGAATCTCTAGCTTCTCAGTTGTTCAGTGACCCTGGAAAAAAATGGAACCCTTTCTTGGGAAGGCCATTTTTAGTGGGGCAGCCACAAAAAAAGAGGAAAAAGGGTGCCACTGAACAACTGAGGCGTTTTTCACGCTGAAGGCCCATCCCTGAGCCAGAAGGCTCGGCATGCCCAGCATCTCGTACTCCGCCAGCAGTAGCGACCTGGGCATCGACTCGTAGCGCTCCACCTCCATGAAGACGGCCAAGGCCTGAAACACATCGCAGTTTTCGAACCCCACCCCACCCCTGGTGGGAGGTGACCCGAAGCTCCAGAAAGGATACATCCCAAAACTGACCTTTGGATCTGGTTGGGCTTCTTTGTATCCGGTGAACCAGATTTCCTTGAGATCCGACCCGCAAAGCTGCTTGAGGAATCAGATCCGAATGAAGGTGATTGCAGAACCGATCGGGTCCTGTGATGGAGAGCATGCATCCTTTCGGGGTTGCTGTGGGGTTGGTGTTCAGTGCGGAACTGGGTCGTCGCCCGCAAATCTGCATAGCAAGTTCAGCGCTTGTCTGGAAAAACGCGAGTGGAAAAGAAAAAGGCGTAAAGCCGCCAGTGTCACATTTTATGTTTGAGAACAATCTTATAGGTGATCAATTGATCTTCTGAGTTGTTGTTTGATACTTTGGGTCAATTGCTGATAGAGGCACCGCTACTGTACCCCGCCGCTTTCGCACCTGATGGACATGGGGTGGACGGGCGGATCGACACCCATAAGCCAATTGTGAGGCTTGACGCTGTCCAGAACGCAGTAGTCATCAAACATGGTGGCTTGTTTTACGGAAACGGGGAGGAAGCGCGCCATGAACCAATCAACCAATCAACCCAGGCTGGCTGAAAGGAAAGACTTGAGGTGGACTCACCAACCGAACAGCCACAGTCCGAGGCGCCACCTCTGGCCCAAGCTGCTTCACCGGGATGCCCTTGCCTGGCGAAATCAAACGAGGAACTGAAACGCAAGGCCTACGCAAAATGTTGCGGGTCCAGTCGCAGAACCTGCGCAAGATGTGGCGCGTCCTTTGCTGGGCTTTCATTCCCATCCAGTGCCAAACATTGACAGTGGCCATGGAGCGCGCTCGCAAAAACTACAGCCTTGCTCCGTTCGGCCTTCCAACATCTCGATGGAAAGCCAGTCTTGCAGCAGTTCCAACAGCTCCTTCTTGCGCGAAAGCTCGGCATGCCTCGCACGTGGGTGACCCAGCTGCGCACATTGAAGTCACAAGTTGTTCACGGGCGTTTCATTGGCTCAACATCATGCAGCAACATCTGTTCGCCTAGCGGCTCACCAGGTCACCACGAAGACTGGCAACCACTCAATACACACATAGGGTGGCAAAGCCCTCACTTGCCATCATGCTGCAAATGTGTGTGCGTGTGTGTGAACATCAAAGGCTTCGCAACAGCAGCTGGGACTGTCAGCATGCTGGTCTGCTTTTGGTTTCCGTGCGGAGCCTGCCACGTCTCGAATTCTCACACCCGAGCCAAGCGGCATCTTGAAGGCGGGCTTCTCTGCCTGAGGCCACCCGGCCCTTTGCCAAGCAGCCCCCCCAAAGCAAACATAAGAACTGCACCTGGCGGGTCTCACTTACCACAAATAAATGGACCTTCCCCCACTAGAAGGCTACATATTGCACAAATGGCCACGGGGCTTCAGAAGAGTGCCTGGGATGTTTTGCGCCCCGCTCTTCAACGGTCTATCTCTGTACAGATGAAGTCGTGGCAGTCGGGCAAGCTTTGCTGCCTGCCATCGCACTTCGAAGATGAATTCAGGAATCTTGGAGCGAGATGCGTCTGCTCGATCCGAGCCCAAATCTGCCCCACTTCCTTCAGAATCGCCACCCGATGCATCAGCTTTGGATCAACCGGCGGCCCCCTCTCAGTAGCCCCTGTGTTTGCTGGCATACATGCTGGCAGCCAGCGCCGCCTTCGATGTCTGCACCTCATCAAACCCAACCTGGGTGGGCAAGCCAAAAGGTGAGTCAAAACAAGCAATCTGCACAAAAACACAAAGCAAGCCTCACAAGGCAAGCGCCACACGGACAAATAGCTGCGTGCCCAACTAGACACCTTTCGCGAGGGTTTGCTACATGCGACAAAACACATACGTTTGAAGCCCAAACAACACAGATTGTTGAAACACAAGCAAGAGCAGGTGGGCGCAAGTAAGTATCACAATTTCACCCGTTTAGGCTCCATCACCCACTACACAACAGATTATGAGATTGTGCCGGCTGAATTCACCCCAATGGGAGACGAAACTACAAACTGCAAATGAACCGATAAACACCGCAGCAACGACACGATCTACAAAACGCATAATTCTAACCTGCGCTGTTCAAATACGATTTGAACTATGAAGCAACAAACAGCATCTCATCCCTTCCCCCTCATAAATCCACCGTATAAATACACCTGTTTCTCTCTAGACCCAACATATATGGCTGTGGGTCAAACCCTGTACCCCTGGTGAACATCAAAATAGGTGGCACATGGGTGTTCATCCACCCCAAAATGGAGGCATAGGAGGGTGTGTGGGGTTAAAAATGCGGGGTCCCCCCGAACCGAACGTCTGGTTTCCTGGATGGATGGGGGCCGCCCAGATTTCTCCGAGGAACGGCCGCGTCCGGCTTCGCGAGCTCAACGCGGCTGCCCAGCAGCCGCGGCAGGCCCTCTCTTGCGGTGGCCAGCAGCATCTCCACGCTGCGAGCCACGCCGCCCTCCTCGCAACACGTCACATTTCCAGCCAAACATGGGGAAAACTGGGGCTTTTGCCCGGGAAAACCTTAGGAAAATAGGGGTTGGACGATGGCTTAAAGTCTGGTCTTTTCGGCACGAACCTAAGCCCCTCTGTTTTCCAAACGATGATGGGTTGAACGTTTTTGATATTGGTGCTGGCTCGTACTGACACAACTGTTGGATGGAATGTCCAACGCTTGAAGCAGGGATGAATTGCCCCAATGCCAAAGCAGAACCGACAATGTTGAATGGCACAGCCACGATAATATATCCAAAGCATGTCACAAAGAATTGACTGAAGATAAGACGGCGACCCAGGACATGTCCTTTGTCGGAAGACATGCCCTAAGGCATTGTCTTGGGCAAGTGCACCACTAACACAACAAAGGAAAGCTTACTTTACGTTTGTCACCGTTCATCTTCAAATGGTCCCGCACACAAGACATCTACGCACCAGCCACGCAGCTAGGCTGGCACAAGCTGAACAGAAGCGAGCTGAAGGCAGATGCAACCTCAACTGTGATAGGATCTCCGATCGGACCACCACCAAATACACCCCGGGCTGCTCAATATTGCGAGGGTTGGGGGGCTGGGGATCTTAAGATTCAACTTTGGGATGGCAGGCTGATCCCCATACTTCCACTTCTTCAGGGAACAGGAGGCAAAGGATGCCCACATAGCAGCACCGAAGATGCGAAAGGCAGGTGCACACTTCGAACAAACAACGGATACAAACAAACAGGGCAGTCAAAGTGACAGCAGCAATGAAGGAAGCGGCGCCAAAACGCCCGCCCGGCTCGGCCAGAAGTATAAACAACCCCAGCACGGGTGAAACATGTATCGCGGACTCCTGCTGAAGTCGGTTGCCAAAGTACTGTGCACGATCACGGAAGCTTTCCTCAGCCAGCACCTCGGTTCCGACACAGATACCGCTCACATGTTGGTGCTAAAAATGAGGTCTCATGCCCTATATGCCCAGTGGCAAGCCACCCCTGCCACGCCTGTACGGTCGGGCTAGAGAATGGGGACAGGCCATGGATGCCACTTCGGCTGCTTGCAACCAACATGCAGACCTGGCAAGTGAGTACCCCTGAAATTGCTGGGTTTGAAAGCGGCAAGGCTAGGATGTAGGAACTCCTGATTAGACAACATGGCATGTTTAGTATGCCTGTTTATAGAACAGGGCTACCGGCATCCAAGTTGGAGGCTCCCCAATTCTATCATTGTTTCCCGCTCACATGGAAGCACATAGAACCAAAGGGCTCTTTGGTCCCCTGAAACGGCCACTACAAGAAAGAAACGCTGAAATTTCAGGAAACTTTGGCACCCGGGTAGTTGTCCTTGTATTTGGTAGATACATTTGGAAACTATCCAAGAACCTACACACCGGTCCCCGATTGTGAGTGACCGGCCGTCTGGTTCCGCGGTAAGGCGCGCGGCGCAGACAGGCGGTCACCTGGCCTTGGTAGGCCTTCAGCGCCTCAGGTTCCTGGCCGTGCTCCGGCAGGGGCCGCTGGATCTGAAGGCCCACCTGACGACGGATCCACCGAATCCACCCGACCCAGATCCAGATCCCACAGAACCAGACCCCAAAACCGAAAATCTGCTCTCCCCTTGTTTTTCTCGCCCGAAGCATGCAGCCGCGCGCTCTGGAAACAAGGCAGGGACACAGGGAAAAGTCCCCGCCGCGGGCGGCTAAGGCTGAACCTGTTCTCACCAAACATGACAATCAGAATTCAAAGTGCTTCGGCAGGCTGATGAATTCTTGGAACTTGCTGAAGGTGACAAAGGTCCGCTGCCAGAAACTCCTGCAAGGTGCGAGCTTTCCGTATCATCTAGGCGCCGCTGCCACTCGTTACTCGTGAGCAAATTGGTGTGGCAGCCAAGTCTGCCTTCTGGATCGGAATAGTTGGCGCACTCTGTCCATGGCCCCCACTTTCCCGCACATGGCATTCCAATGGCAACCTGGCAGGTGTTTGATAAATTTGTCAAGCCATCCACGCACAGGTCTGTGCACTCGCCTTTCCGCTGGGAAATTGTTGGCGGTGAGTTCTTCGGCTGATCAGCACGCATGTTGAAAGCTGGCCAACTAAGCACCAAACGCACCACGAGTGGCAGCATTGCCAAAGGCAATCGCACTGGGAGCGGAAGCATTGCAGGCTGCTGGATCTATGAACACAAACTCAGCTTGAGCCAGACATATGGCGCAGGGGGGCGGCAAGGTGTGAAACAAAATGCAGCAACATACTCATGTTTTGTTTAATGTGTTTGTTTGTTGTGTTTAAGACAAGCTCAGGACCAATCCAAAAATGCATTGTGTCAATTACACCACGGTGAAAGTAGATGGCACTGCTCCTTTTATGTTGGTAAAGGGGGTGACGAAACCAACATAGGGGAATGGCGCAAGCTACTTTCAACCAACTGTATGCATTGTCAAAGCAAAGGTACAAAATAATACACATGATTAGCAAGATGGATACACATAGCTACAACGCAGTATCAATATCATATTTCATAACAGCTAGACCAAAGAAACACAAAAACATGACTTGAGCATGCAGCCAAGTTCCTTGGAGGCTGGCTATCGGGAGTGGATGCTCAAAACCATAAGCTCTTGCACCTCCCCCTTCATGAAAAATTAACTGGGGAGTGTCCTCTCCTCCCTACCAGCACAGTACCTTCCGCACAAATAACCAGGCAGGTAGATCATTTATGCTGCAATAGGGCAAACTACATGTCTGTTTAAAGACCTCTGGTGTTCCGGTGACTTCTGCACACCAACCTCTCTGCAAAATCACCCGTGTCATCCCGTGTCAATGCATTTCTTGATGGAGGGGGCTGCTGGAACGAAGGAATTTATGTCAGGGGATGGCAGGGGTGAATCAACATAAATCCCAAGCGCCCCTGGCCACCTCCCGACAGCCCGGCGGACTGGCTCGCTGGTGCGCCTGCATGGCGTCTGCCCTCATAGCGTTGGCGATCTGGTCGGCAAAGCCAGGGCAAACCACCACCGGCACGCCTGGCCCCAAACATGGGGCACCGCGGATGGAGTGACACTCACCTAGGAGTTTATCCATCCACCTGGGGAGAAGGACGCCATGCCTACGTTATGCCTACCACGTGCAGGTAGAGCCACTTCTAATATTTGCGAAGTTCAGTCTCAGGACGGGCCCTGAAAGGGCTCAAGGCGAGCCTTGGCTCATGCAGCCATCTCTTGGGCAAAACGCTTCATCTCTTGCAAACTTCTGACCCGGCCCAGCAGGACGACAGCTTCAAGCTGCAGGCAGTGAACAAGTTCAAAACAAATTCACAACGCGGACCAAACGCAATAACAGATTTGACAGCTCGCAACCCATCAGTCTCACATCCCCAATCCATTCCAATCACACAACGTGGCTCAAACATCCAAACGCCTCCCCAGCTGACGAGTGTTTAAACCACACCACAGAAATGTTGTGGAGCAGTCTGGCAACCTCTGAGCATGTTTGTGTGCCGAGCTCCGGCCGGGCCTGCCATCAACGACTCCATGAAGCTGTTCTGTCCCCCATGCGTCAAGAAAAGATCCACGCCGGCACGCAGGAGTTCCACCTGCCAAATGCAACTAGAAGCCGGGAAGCAAACTGGGAAGGTTGACTCGTGCGTCCGGCCTCAAAATGGTCGGCGTGCCCCTGATTTATGCTTCATACAATTCCTTCTATGCGCTAAATGGCAGTCTCTGTTTTCCTGATTGTGACAGCCTGACGCATCAAAGGCTGCGTGCTCACCAGTCAGAAGCACCTTGAGCACCAAAAAGCCAAAGTAATTCTGAACACCACACAAGTAGATGACCTGCTCGAAATCCGTTGGCTAATTGGCGACACCGTCAAACTTCGGGCACTTGCATATTTGAATTTGGCGCTTGCTACTAGGGCGTCCCCCTCAATCTACCATAGCTTTCTCTAGGCCTGCTTCAACAAAAGCGAATCCACAAGTCGTCTCTCGACCCCGCTCGACGCTCGAGCTTCGCACGCCTGGGGCAAGTGGGGCAGGCACAGGGCGTTGCTAGGCACGGTGAGGTTCTCCAAGGCGTCGGGCTGGGATCCGATGGCCACCACCAGCAGCGGGGCTTGGTCTACGGCTCCCTGCACCCCGAAGGCGTCGAAGGCCTGGTGAAGCACTCAGGGCTGAAGTTGCCTGAAGTTGAGACCATGTTTTCTCACCCAGGGAAGCGGTCAATCATGGGCAACCTGCAAAAGTGCACAAATCACTCAAGGCTGATGGCTGATGATCCGGCAAGTTTATTGCAGGGTCAGTTTCCAGAATCAGTTGCTCACTCAATTCGTTCAAAGCTTCCTCCAATGAAAGAAACATATAGTGTGACATGGTTTCAGCATGCAATGCAGGGTCCCACCAGTCGGACTTGACATGCAATACTTCTTGAAGTTCTCACCCACAATTCAGCAATCGTGCTCTCCACTCTAGTCTAAGGCTTCGGGCGGACGACATGCACTTCACTCTCCCTTCCAGGGCCGAGGAGCCGCCGACCAGGCGGCTTGGCAGAGCTGCTTGCCAGTGACGCCCTTCGGGTTCTCGGTGCCATCCTTGGGCACCTCGTGCCAGCCCACCGTGCTGGTGTCGGAGACCAGGATGGTGCCCATGCTCACCAGGATCACCTGACACGCCCAATCAGCTCGAAGCCCCTGGCCTGGTGGGGGTCGGGGGAATGCCGCCGCCCGGCCCCCGCGCGTGCTTGCCCAATTGCGATCAAGTTGTGTGGAACATGTCGAGCGAGCCACTCGATCTGTCCAAAAAACCTGGCCCGCTGCACTTGCATTCTGCAAGCCGCCCCTTGGGAATGCAGGTTGCAGAAAACCTGGCGCATGACAAATGTCTTCTTACGTCCTCTCTGGGTTGCCTGCGGCACAAACCCTGCAGCCGCCATTATCTTGAGTGCTGACCTAATGCATCGTGGGAATAAGCCCGCTTTTGCGTCGGAATTATCTTCTGAGGTGGTTGATTCAAATATGCCATGCACTTCTGCCACGGAATGGAAGAATGCGATTGCGATTGGTCCTGCATCTTTCTTACATCAACCTCATTGATATTCTTGTTTCCAGCTATGCCATGGTCGGACCGGCCCTGTCCAAGCGTGTCGCAATATTTTGGTTCCAGCAACCCTCTCTTGAGTCAAGCGGACCAATACTCTCGCCCCATGCTTGCTACCATGAACAAAGGGCCAAACTCAACGTATCTGGACAACAACTCGCACATTCAGCAATGGACCCAAAACACCCCACCCGCCCGCCCGCCGGCCCACCCACCCAATCGCACGCACGCACGCAACGCACGCGCGTGCGCACGCACCACCCACCAACCATGCACGCACAAATGCAAGTGCTGGCACAGGATCAAACACAATTTTGAGTTGTTCCTACTCCGGTCAATGGCTCTGAATGATGACAAAGTGAACAAACGGTTGCCAACATGGTCTTCCAAAAATGCAAGCGCGGCCAAAAGCAGAGAAGCTAAACCATGCCCCCAGGCTAAAGACTCATTTTCAGCGCCTCTGTTACCACTGCTTGGACCTTTGTACGCTTTGCACGCGCGCCTGGCGCCCAGCACTGCGGGCATCCTTGACCGCCTGCACAGGGTCCACCGGACCCTCCACACCTGGGGAGGGCACTTGATCGTCGGTCTCTGCATGCGCCACACCACAAATGGATAACAAATGGTTGGAAGTCAGTCAAACTATCGTCTAGACAAATCAGAAATCAGCGCCGGCACATGATCTTCAAACATATGTCATTGGTGGGATCACACAGAATACCATGCCTCAAGTACTTCAGATAGAAATGTGCGAGAAATGGATGTTGTGGTTTCACAACAGCGCGCGGAACCGTGGCCAAGTTCTCCGTCGAGCCACGCTGCGGCGGGGTCTCATCCAGCAAAGGCCCCACCGGCACGAATGTGGCGCCAGCGTCGTCGTAAGCTGCGGTCAGCTCTGGCGTCACCGGGTCCTGAGGGCATAAAAGGCAAAGGACCTCAGCATAGGCCCCACATTTGGGATTTTTAACTGCTGGTAACCTATTTGTCTCCTCCCTGCCTGGAAGTCCGCTCCAGTGGTGACCAAGTTGTAACGGGTCAAGCACATGGTGGGCATGAAGCCTTGCGGATTCAGCCTGCGCTGCCCGACACGCTCTTGTGTCCCTTCAAAATCACATGTTTTATCAAGGGGGCTTTGCGTCAGCTGGCAATTCTGATGTTCAACATGCCCGGAATCAAGCCTGCAGCTCTGCTCACGAACAACTCACGGGCCTTGTTTCAACCGTACTTGGTGCCATTCAAGAAATGCTGTCTCCCTGACAAAAGCTATTTTTATAGTTAGAAGGTATTTTGTGAGACAAAAATACCTAACGCATAACATGAAAGCATGGCAGGCGCCCACTTGCTTCTGCGCAGGATGTTTCAGGATCTCTATAGAACGTCTTGCGTGCTCTTCAAACAGAAGCCTTCTGAAAGCTCCTGTTGAAGATCTCCGGTGGGAAGTGGTTCCGCGCAAGATGTCTCCGTGAGAAATTCTACCACTGCTTCTGTAGAAAGACGCAAGATCTCTGTGGAAGGATCTTTGCAGGCACTGTGGATAGGATCTCTTGGCAAGATCTGTGTGCAGGATCTGCGGGACAAGCTCTTTCGTCAGGATCTGTAGGGAGCATCCTCTACAAGATGTCTCGACACGAAACTGTTGCAGGTCCTGCGCGTGATCTGGCGGGAGGACCTCTATGAAGGCCAAATATGTCTACAAGCGTTCTGTTCAAGATCTGTAGGGAACTACAAGATCACTTGGAAACCCGCGCACGTCCTGCGAAGGACCTTGAGCGGCGCAAGATATTTGCGGGAGAATCTTTGCAGGATCTCGCGCAAGATGTGGGTAGGATCTCATAGCAGGATTCCTGGAAAGATTTGGTCGCAGGATCCCCAGCGGACCCTCCACGAGTAGGGGGCCCCACCCTCTACACAAGTAAGACCTCTTGAAGGAAGTCATTGCAGGTCCTGCGCAGACCTGTTGGGAGGATTTCTCTGAAAGACCAGCATCTACTGGAAGATCTTCACACAAGATCTTTGCAGAATCTCTTGGGTCTGTAGGGAGCATCCTCTGTAAGACTTTTTGCAGACATCTTTCCAAGTCCTGCCTGCGCAGGACCTATGACGGACCAGCACGGGATATCTCTGGCATGATTTTACAGGATCTCCGCGCAAGATTTCTCGAGAAAATCTTGCGGCAGCTCTGTGTAGGACGTGTGGATCACAGCCAAAGCAATCCGCCGACCCACCCAAAGTCCGTCAAATCCTTACCGTGCCACAAAGAGAGCGACCCGACCCACCGAAAGTCCGCAGGGGATTAACTTTCAATGCTGAAGATGCAAGCACCCCAACACGAGCAATCCGCAATTTCCAGCATTCGCACGCCACCACAGCGAGAGCGCACCCTTGAAAGACACCAAAGCGGACGCTGCACTTTGCCCAAGCCTGCGCAGTCGAACAGCACACGAACATCTTACAACGGAGTTATTGCACGAGCCTGCTCAAACGAAACGCCCAGCCAGACGAGCACCCCGCACTACACTTACCGTACAAGAACCCCTTAGTGTAGTGGCACACTCTCTTGGGAACAAAGCAACACGACACAGCACAACGGGGAAAAAAAACAAAGGATCGGGGCACATGGCTCTGACGTCCGGCTCGATGCCATACTTCTCCTCCAAGCGCCGGCGACAGTCCAGCGTCGGCTGAAAGGCCTCGACCTGACCAAGCTCTGCCCAAAGGACGTGGAGGTAAAACGGTTACCTTCACATCCACTAACTTGGAACCTGACAAGGGGATACTGGAAGACCAGTTTCCTGCAAAAGGGAAATTTCTGTTGGGTTTGTAGGGGTTTGAAAAGGGACCCTCTGTAGAGTACCATGTAGGGTTGCAGGCTTGGATTGAATAAAGCAAAAGTGGATATACAACGAGCTTTCTTTCCTTGGCACTTCGGGACCAAAACAATGAGACTGTGGAACACGAACAAATCAAAACACTCGGGTTTGGGCAAGTGAGATGGTCAGCCATGGACCTTGGCTTCACATGGCAGAAGGCGGCTCCAATGTTGGCAAACATGATCTTCATCTGCCTTGTCGGGTCCCGCATTCATCCAGCATAAGCGTACCGCACTGCTTTTACTAGTGCAACAAACAAACAAGCTACATCGCGTGTTTCAAGGCTGACCCGACTCCAATCACAAGTCCAGCGGCCTTTGGAAGTAGACTTGTCCGGCACATTGAATCTATGAAAGGTGTGCAATGTATGTGGTTGTTACCTTACGGTAGGTGACCCATGAGCCACTTGCTAGCACTTGGCACTGTGAAGAAACCGAAGCTATATTGAACAGAGCCGGACACCCTTCCAAGTTCAGGCACTCAAGCTCCTGCGTCTACCAGCCCACTATAAAAATTAAAACACCCTAGCTTGGAAGCCTAGGGCATTTCATGCAAACCCCAACCCCAACCCTGAGGGTGCCTTTAGCGGCAGCTTGCCCCGCGCCTCCTCCAAAATCACCGCTGGCTCCAGGCCAGTCTGCATCAAGAACATGTCTGTCATGCCGATCATGCTGCCCGGACCCGCGAAGGTCCACAAGCCTCGCGTTGAGTCAATGATCTGAGTCCGTGAAAAGGTTCACAGCCCGGTTGAACCCTTTCTGACGGCAATCTTATGTTTAACGACCTTGTCAAGCTAGCCTTTTTCCATAGACCCGATCCAAAGGTGCATGAGCTCACATGTTCCAGGGCAAGCGTGACAAGGATCTGATGTTCTCAACCTTACAATGGCTCGCATGTCATCATTGGCAGTCAATCGAGTCTTGCAACTCCAGGGCTCGGCTCCAAAAAAAATGGTGCCTCACCATAGCGTGACTCCACATTGGAAGGGCACCACTTCAACGCACGTGTGAATATCACGGACTCACTTTGGATGTCGGGCCAAGCGATCAACCCCTTGGCCAGCCCCGCCCGCGAAAAAAGCGGCGAGCCTACAGCTGGAATCTGCAAATACCTCGCCGCATAGACCGCCTGGCAAGCGGGCGCATTGATGGCCAGCCGCGGATGCTTGTCAACAATCCGAAAGCCGCTGGCGTTTTGATGTGTGCCCACGTCTTTGGTTTGGTTGTTTACCACGAAATCAGCTACCAAGGCTGTATTGAAACAGTGAAAGCACACATGTACTGTTGATATAAATACATTATGTACAAAATATATTTGACGAGCACATTGATCCTTCAATTCGCGTGCCTCATCATTCATACTGCGAAAGCTCACTTCAAGGCACCACATTCACAATGAAACAAAATCGCGATTGAAGGTCCCTCCTTCTTTTCCGATGTGACCTCAAGCTAACCAAGTTTCCCCTTCAGCAAATCTCCACGAAAACGACAGCCTCGCCCTCGGCTCGGCTTTTGCGAGGTCGCGCCTCCGGGTTCATGAAGGGGCAAAAAAGCACCAGCTGCGGCTTCACCCGCTGCATCCAGCGGATGGCCCCCGGCATCTGCAGCTCCAGGTGGATCGGCCCAAGGCCTGGAGGCCGAGCGACGAGGGGCGCACAGACCGGAAAGCTGTGCGTAACTTGGCGCAGTTCTCCCCGCGCTCACCACCTTTTCAACATAGCTATGTATCAGGCTGGTGCACATGTTTTGTTTAGTCGCGCTTCAGACATGGTCATGCTCACTCCCAGAGCTTATGGACTATTAACAATTAAAGACACACAAAGAAAGGCGGGAAGAAAGAAAAATAAATAATCACACAAAAGCAAACAGGTCGGTTGCCCCTTCAGCTGCTCATCTTTCTCCATAAAAGGGACCTCCCGAAATGTTCAACAGCCGCATCAGCCGCCTTGATTCTCCAACTGTTCCCCAATAATTCCCCGCCCTTTGAGAACTCTCCAGCAAGCAACTCAACTTGCCTCTTAATATTGTTCCCGCCTCCTTGGTCAAAAACAATTCCAAAGGCCCTGAGCATAAGTTTAGCTTGGCCAGAAGGCGTAATGTCAATCCCTGCAGGTTGGCGCGGCCTTTTTGAGGTCACCCACGGGGAAGCCAACCGAAGCCACCTTCTTCTGCTCTTTTTACTGGCAGACCCCTTTTTGGAGGGTTCTATCGGGAGCCAAAAGAAAGACCATGAAACGGGTCCCCCATTTTGAGCAAGAAACACCCCATTTTGTGACAACCAAACCAAAGGAACCCCATCCACTTCATTGTTCTATTGGGGAGGAAATGGGGATTGTGGGGGATCTTCGTTCCCTTTAGCGCAGCAAATAGAAAACTAACAAACAAATACTGATAATAGCAATAATAATATCAATGGGATTGAACTTCGTTCCCTTTAGCGCCGCTGAGTATTAAACACAAAAAATCGAGGCCAAGGCGCTGAGCATGCCCACCATCATCGGCGCGTCTACGATGCCCAGCTCCGTGCCCAGCGCCCTCATGGCCCCCATGATGTCCGTCTCACGGCCAGCGAAGAGCTCCGGCATCTCCTCGCCCGAGGAAAAATACAGGGGCGATCTTCGTTTTTTGGCGTTCGATGGGGGGGGGGGGGGGGGTCGTTTGGATCTTTTTTTGGGGTGCCCCTTCCTTTGAGGGGGTGTTTTCATGGGAAAACACACTTCTTCTATGTTATTTCTTGTTCTTTTTTTTTTTTGGGGGGGGGGGTATGGTCTTGTATGGGTTTGTATTGTCTGGTGATTTAAGACCAGAATGCGGGGAGATGCCCTGGGAAGTCAACGCTTGCTTGCTCATAGGTGCCTCTGGAGCTGTCACGCCGTGACTAGTAATAAAAATCACCCCTTTAGATTTAGGAGTCTCAATTTCCGTGTCCTGGTCATTTTCCCTGCCGGTCCAGACCATGGAATGCATTCATATCCATTCCAATCATGCCAGGCTTGACGTTGTTCGGCAGTGCAAGTCAACCAGCCACAAAGTGGATTGCCAAAAATCCCGGACCTGGTCGAACCAACAAATGCCTCTTTCAATATTCCCAAAATGGGGCCATCACTGTCTGACAACTCCCCGCACATACCAATCACAGCGGCCTGCTGCCTTTGTTTTTGGAAAGTGTGGTTCTCAGAATCTACTCCAGCGCGGCTCGTCTCAGTTGCTATGTTGCTCCTCCGTCGTGTCCGAAAAGCTGGCACCGGTTTGCTCCTGAGCAGAAGGAGGCTGCGAAGCGCTGTTGTTTTCCTTGAACTGAGCCCACCAGTGCCAACATGTAGCTAAACCTGTCCAAGGGAACCCGTTGCATCAGTTCCTAGGCCGTGGTGGCGCCAACCGCACCAAACGCTCGCAGGGCTTTCAAAGGCTCGGGCGCAACGACTACAGCCGAAAGAATTGACTTCGGTGGCGCCCTGGACCGCAACACATGAGCCACGTCAACGGATGGGCACAGCTTCAGTCAGGATGTTTACAAGTAGGAACGGGAGAGCAAAAATTGTAGTCCTTGCGACGAAAACCATCCGCACTAAACTAATCTAATAATACACAGCCCTGAGAGCGGATTACGGAACAAAGACTCAACCAATACCAAAACAATCTTAAACAACGAGACCGAAAACTACTGAGAAGGCTCCTCAGCATTATTGTTCTGCACTATCCGAATTCCCCTCGTCTTTTTTCTTAACACATAGTCTCAGGGGGCTCTTGTACAAATCAGCCTGGAAGTGGCTGCGCCGCATCGCGTTTTGCCAAGCCGCGATCTTTGCCCGCATCTCCGGTCTTGACAAGTAGTGCACCTCTCCGGCGTGCCAATGGAGCAAATGGGAAATGGCATGCGAACAACCATCTTCCTCCGGGGCTGCATAGACTGCAGGAGTGCGTTTTGATTGCATGTTCGGATCAAGGTGCATGCTTGTATGCATGTTTCATTGCCCGTGGCGATGCACACCTCCATTTTTTGCACAGCCGCACAGCTGTCTAAAAGCCTGGGAACGATGCCCTTCCACAGCTCCACAGCCGCCTCTGCAAAAACAGGCAGAAAGCCGAGGAAGCCCGTGGCACCCGAATCGATTCCCGGCCTCGTGGCCCAGCTCAAGCAGCTTCCGGGCGATGGGCAGCGAGGGGTTGAGGTGCCCAGTGGCCGCCGGGAAGCAAAAGCCAAAGCGAATCGACATGCTGCGATCCGATCCGAGTGGAACTTGGCGGCAAAAACTGGGCTGCTGCGGTGCGGGCGGAACTGCGGTTCAAGCAACTTGCGACCAAGGCAACTTGCAACTTGCGAGTGCCAAAAACGTGCGACATTGGCGGAATCCAAAGTTGGAGCATCTGATGTAGTCCGGAACTTTGGCCTTTCTGAAACACAATAGCTATACTCAAACCTGTGCAAAATCACAAACCTCACTCAAACATGGCATTCCCAAAACCACTCGCCGCCAAACACTGCCACAACCACTAATTTCAGCAACAGCACAATGCTCAGTCAGAGACACAGGCTGGAGTGGGCTTAACTACTTTCAGGCACACCCGGATGAACAACTGCACACAACTCCTGTACCTCATGCCAATTGGCAAACTTAAGCTTCGCTTTGCCAAGTCTTTCTAAAATTGGCCCAGCTGAAACCCATATTGTTGCCTGTTTGCATCTGCAGCTCAAGAACCAAACTAGCAGTGCGTCTACTTGTAGCAAAGGTTTTCACAAAAAATAGCACGTGCATGATTGGCTGCGTCGTGGCCCCAGCCTTGCTTGGCAATTGCACGTCTCGGCACCTGCACTCCTCTTCCAGGTCTTCCACGCTCATTTGAGCCCAAACCTCATTGAGGTGCCATCCATCGCATCATCGTTTGACTGTTCAGTGGGACTCCAAGCGATCAAGCATAAATCCAGTTCGGGTGTTTTTTTCTTTTTGGGAAAGAAACAAGTAGGTCCGATTGTTTGTGCTTTGTTTCAATAGGTGACCCTTGACATTGGCGGTGTCAGTCTCAAAAAAACCCGAAAAGACCCAACCCAATCCGGAGTGACTCGATGCCCCCTGTGATGAACAACCCTACCAGCAGCGAAAGCGTGGAACAACCCACCCGTGCACTTGCCATAATTCACCATAGCAACCGCCTACTCCCCGCCCATGGGGCAGGTTGGGGAATGTTGGGGATGTACCCAGCTTTGAAGGGCGCTGTCACAGGAACATGAAAAGGGCTTTGATCCTTTGATTAGTTGAGACTGCAACCCCCTTATTGGATTAAACAAGGAGCTTTTTTCTTCTCGGGAGTTCATGCCTTTCTTGGGGAAACCTAAGGGTGCATTCAGCTCAGTCAGGGTGCTTGGTGTGGTGTGGCATGTTTTTGGGTGTGGATTTAAGGTGGGTTGATTGCGAATTTTGTTGGGGTGGGTTTAGGATCTTTGGGGTGAAGTTAGAGTTGATTTAGCTTTGAATTGTGGATTTAGGGTGGGTATGGGGGAGTTTTTTTTGTGTGGATGCTTGCTTTGCTTACTTGCTTGCCGGGCGGTCGTGGCAACAGCTCCCAATTGAGCTGGAAACAAGGCATCCTTGAATTGGGAGCTTCAAGGCAAAAGCTCTCAAAGTTAAACCTCCAAAAACAATGAAGGAAGCCAAACAACTAGCCGTTTTTTGTTTTGTTTTTTTTTTTATGCGGCTACCACTTTTTGGGATAAAGGGAAACCACCCAAGAAACCGATATGGGGCGGGGGTCCAACCGAACAAAACAGCAGATCCAAATTTATTGGACCAGAATCGCCAGTTTGGGAGGGGTCCAACCTAAAAACAAAAACAACACCGGTCACTGTCTTGGTCAGGGCGCCAGGTGTCGCCTAAGGCGCCCCAGCAACGCCTCCTTCGCCGGAGCCGCCTCCGCCGGCAGCTGCCGGCGCCGGCACTCCGCGGTGAGCTGCGACAGCTCCTCGACGTCAGCTGGTGCCCATTGCGGTTTGATACAAGCTATGTGAATCTACCCTACACATCATATGTTTGTTGTTTTACATGTTTATATATGCTGTATATGAATCTATCATTGTATGTTATTAAAAAATAAGCTCAGGCGATATCCCCAACAGCATGCGGTGCTCTTTTTAGTGCTCGCACCACCCCGCAGCCCTCGCAGAACCTCGTGGAACCCTGGTGGAACCCTGGTGGAACCCTTGTGGAACCCTTGTGGAACCTTGCCTCAGGGCCGCCCCGGACCACGCCGGAGCCCATCTGGTCTGGGCTGAGACCCCAAAGCTTTCAGCTGTTGGAGAAATATGTGATTCAATATGCATGCATAAGTTTGTCGCAAGAATGCACACAATTGCGTTATAGTAGATGGCATAAATGCCCAGAACATGTTGGTTTAGACATCCCTTGACTTGCCCAAAGAAAGGGAATTGTGAGCCCATTCTGGCAGCAAAAGCTAAAGCAAAGTTGACTGGCACGAAAACGCTCTATGCTCTTCAGGGGTTGTGTTCTCTCTCCTCGATTTGGGGGCAACCCAAGTAGATCCATGAACAGTTTCATGGCGGTCGGGCCCCAACCTTCTTTGCCAAGCGCTGCACTTGGTCCAGCAGCCCTTGAGCAACCAGAATGCTGGGCAGCCTCGGTGGCTCACATGGTCGACACGGTGGCTTTGGTTCCTTGGGCCAAAAGCCTCAGGTCTCAAAGAACTCGGGCAAAGTGAGAAGCGCCCGGATGCTCGGATGCCGTGTTTTTCCATAGTTCCACTGCGAACACATTGAAGTTGCCCTATTTAATTTGGGCAGGGGACTGTTTTAGTGTCTTGTTAGACTGAGAGTTGAGTGTCTCTCAGGGAACTTTCCAAGCAAAGTCGCTTTTCTTTCTGTCTGGGCTGGGATTTTGCCGCTTCAAGAAAAGGTCTACTCATGAATGTGGCCTAAGTAGGGCCAAATACTCTGCATGTATTGCACATGTTGCCGTATTGTATCGGCATCTTAGGGGATTGATTACCTCACAATTGTAGAAGTGTGTCTGTGCGTGCTTGCGCCACTGTCACATGAGCAGCTCTTTGCATCTTGGCAACTTGGTCACAGGGATGTCGAACGGCTTCCAGCTCTCCTTGGCTTGAATTAGGGTGTACAGTATTTGTGCATTATCTTAAGGAAAGCATAGAATGTGGTAGTGACAACATTCCGAGAAGGGGGCGAGGCAAGTCGCAGATCATAACAGCGTGATGCATCATGCCCTCCATGGCCGCCATCGCTCAGAAACTGGAAACAAATAAGAGCACACCGCCCGTGGCTGAGCATGCAACTATTCCTCGCAAAGCGTCGCTATGTTTCTCCGACATTCAATTGCAGCACTAGTCCATCCTAATTCCTGAGGGTTTCCATCATGTCACGTAGCTTGAGCGGGAGCAGTTGCAAGTACGACTGCCCCGGCCCTTGCTTCCCCATGAAGGACAACTCATGGTCGAAGCGGGCGACCACTCATGCACATGCAAGTTAACATTCCTCTCCGTAGCCATCCAACCATCCATCCATCCATCCATCCATCCATCCACCCATCCACCCAGCCACCCATCCGTCCGTGCGAACTTCGCCTATTTTGGTGTCCTCATTCGCGCGCTGAAGCCTGTGCAGCCGTGGCTCCAAGCTGAGTAGCTTCAGCAGGTCGGCACGGCGGTGCTCCCCCCTGAGGCAAGGGCTACATACCCTGGACACATGGGACTCCAGGTAAACATCAGAAACGGGCGCTGTCCCCTATGATTCGCGCTTAAAACATCCCAGGAAGGGTACCTTAAAACTCAAAACACACTGACATATCAATTTGAGTAGGTTCAGCGTCGACTTGAACAATTCCATGTATATAAATTTCATAGACAGATTCCTTGCGCCCAGCCAAGGACCCCAGTTGGACTTGCACCGTAGTGGAACCACCCCCGGGACCCTGGCACCCGAGAAATAAATGGGTTCCCGCGAACATACAAAAAACATATATATATATATACACATTAATAATTGGGGGGGTCCAAAGTCAGGGACAAATGGGGCCTTTCCATCAAGTGAAGCACCTTCATAAGCTCGTTGACGCTCGTTTTACCTAGCCAGTTCCGCACCTGATGGCAAGGCCCTTCTCCTTGCAGAGCTGCCGGAGGTGCGACAAGGACATCTCCTGGCACAGCCTCGAGTCCGGAGTCACGTGCGCTTCGGAAGGCGCTCGAGCCATCTGGAGCCACAAGTCAGGCACAGGATGTTGGGCTGGGCAAAGCAAGCGTGAAACTGCATTCAAGAAACCGCCCAACCATCGAGCGACATGCTTGTATTGTTTGTTTCAGACTTTGCCTTGAGTCGGGCGCACATTACCTGCACGACAGGCATGAGAAAAACAAACAAGCATGAGATTTCTAGCAGGTTTGCTGTTAGAACGCCTCAGAAGTGGCAAAGCAAAGGGTCGTCCTGATGATAAGGCGTCTGTTTTCATTGGATGCATGAGGTCATGGCAATGAGCTGGGCCGTAGTTTTGCCAAGCCGCGCGTACTCCTTCAGCGCCGAGACAATGAACTCCTGCAGGAAACCATGGTTTTGATAACCAACCAATGTCCTAACCGGTGGATTAGCGTGGTGTACCCCCCTGCCCTCTCGGTGCCCGGCTATCAGGAAACCACACAGTAATCAACGCGAGACAGAAGACTTCCCTCGATTTGACTGCTTTGCGGATTGAAAGCCTCGGCCTGCATCACGTTTGAACACAGGCTATGCCCGGGTTCCAGGTGCTCATCCAACCGCTGCTCAGCGCTATCCTTGTGCTGATGGCCAAAGCTAGTAACTACTTTGCCGCATGCCATGAACACGCCAAGCTTGCAGGATATTCCGCAGGCCTCGCTGAGGTCGTCGCCGTAAGCAAAGCCGACACCCTTGTACCTGCAGCAATGCTGCTGAGGTTTGAACTTCTTGGTCTCTGTTCCACACACACACACACACATAGTAAGGCAAAAACGATTGAACAGCCGGTTAGCTCCAAGGAGCACAGAGGCATCAGCAGGCAAGCAGCTCTGCAATTGGCGGCATTCATTGAATGCAAGTGGAACATCATGCCTGCTCTCGGATCTGATACAAACATGTTGGAGCACTCGCATTCATCCTTGCGTGCGTATGCACCGCATCCTGTCAAAAGAAACGTTTTAAAGCTGAACTTATCTTGTGCAGGACTGCCTGAATGACGCAGCCAAGGCTGAAATGACACAAACAGTGCGTCCCGTGTTCAGCCTTTGTCATCTTTTGTGAAGCCTGCAGTCGCGAGGCAAGCGTCCAAAAGCCCCTCATTCAATGACCCCGCCCTTGGAGTAAGTTTGAACCAGAGGAATGCAAAAGATCTCGAGTTGCGGCCTTGAACCTCTCAATTTGCGCTTCTGGCTCATGCATACATGTCATAATTGGCCATCCTTTGAATGGCCCCCTCCCCGCATACGCTCCGAGCCTGCGCGCTAAGTCGGCACGGCCCATCGACTCCAGAGAGACGAAATGGGACAGGAGGTGCTCCGCACGGGCGCGGTTCTCCAGCCTGATGGCCGTTCTCGTTTTTGTTGGCTGGTTTTTTTTGGGTGGCTCGAAGCCAGGGGCACTGTGCTGTTGAAACTCCGCGCCACAACACCGGGTCAACCGGTCACAATGCAGGCTCACCTGTGATTTGCACCCGTGGCTTGCAGTAATTTCAAGCTACCGGATAAGCTACCCAAAAACCGCCACCACCACTGCTTGCTGCCGACGAAAGCAAGCACGCCCCAAAGTGTGCCTCACCTTTGCCTGAGGTCATGACAACGCAAACGCAAACGCCCAGGCAAGTCGCATGTCACCCACTGGGTGACATGCGACTTTGCCAGAGCAGCCGCCAAGCCAGTTCGACGCCGGGAGCAGAGTCTTGCCAAGGCACTTGTCATCCGGAATGCCTTTGTCAGCGCAGCGCTGGCTGATCTGCTGGCTCTTGGTTTGCCCGCCCCACTTCGCCACAGCGAGCGCCTGCATGTGACAGGCGCCCATGATCTAATAGAACGTCATTCACGCTAGTTCTATTCACCTCCCCTCCCGTTTGTACAAGCAATAGCTTGCCAAATGACGTGAACGCGTGACAACTCCGGCGAGCAAACACATCAGCCATCTCCTCGGAGGGAGTGACGAGCACATGTTGCAACTTGATCAGTCACAACTGAGTTCTGGTGTGCGTCGCGCAGTCAGGTGCTCCAGCAGGATAGGGGTGCCCGGAACAATGGTGACAAAAGGGGATTTGCTAGTTCCGGCTTCTTCTGCAGAGGTTTGATCCAAAGCACAATTAGCTGCACCAGTGCCTGATATTTGGGACCAGATAATCTGGTCCCAAGGCACATACCTACGAACATGTCGTTCAAGCGACGGCATGCTGCTGGTTCCGCTGTTGAAACTAACCTCGCTGACTCCGAGGCGCCTCGATCAGTTCCTCGCGTGACAGCGGCTCCCCCTCTGCGGACTGCATGTGCACAACGACATGCGAGGCTTCTTGGCGGCACTGCTCTTGCAACGCCTGCGGCTCAGGCTCACCCCGAAAAATCTACACGGGACGCAACAAGTTTGCAAGCCCCAAATCCGATCCCACGTCCACGCTCAGGCTTCATGCGCTTCATACGCGCAACCTTCGGGGCCCCCACGGAACTGTAGTGCTTGGGTTCGGTCGCATCCTCGGTTGAAGCCTGATCTAACAATCTGCCACTTTGACGTGCTAGGTTCGACCCCGGAAGAATCAAGCTGGTGCATCAGCCAAGTGCTTCCCACCGGTTGAATGAACCCTGGGCTCCCACCCGCCCCACCCTGCCCACCTGCAGGGGCAGCAGCTTCCACAGCCGCAAATGCCAAAGCCGCGCCGCCAGCTGCCGGCGGTCCCCTGTGCAAGAGCTGACCAAGGCCACGACTGGTCGGCTGCGATGATTTCGCCCAGGTTTGCCAAAAATTGGGGCCAACTTGGGGCCCAGATTTTAGCCAAAGATCGGGCCAGTAGCAAACTCTGGAGCAGGATTAGAGAGCCTGCCGCGCAACATGGTCATGATTTGACAGCAATTTTAGTCCCTGCCGCGTAAATGTACACCCCATTGCCCGTTGCAACGCAGCAATGACTCTAATTAGCCTGCAAGGCGCAGCCTAAAATCCACCTCGAAGGGGCGATAGGCATCTAGGACACTCCTGGACCATCTAAGGTAGAGGTTTCCGCATCACCACTGCCTAGGTCAGCGCGTAGGTTTCTTGTGGATGACGCTGACTTGCCACTCAATCATCCATAGCTTGATGCACTTATCATGATGACCCAGCCCCCGCAAGAACAGGAAGACAACAATACTGTCATGTCTCCCTTGGGCCTCATCCAGTCGGACAGGGGTCACTGGATTTCCCCTTCAGAAGTTGCAATTGTCTGGCGGTTTCCGCCACCTTTGGCGGCCTGACAAGGGAAATGGAGCCCCCCCCCAATCGGAGGCAGCAACGCCACAGCGAGCGCGCCTTCGGCCAGGCCTTGGTCGCCCGCCTCCGCCGCCAAAGCTTCCAAGGACAAGGCCTGCCTTAAGCGAACAGCAATGCCTCAAGCTCGCGTTTTGACCAGGGATCTTTATGTCGTGAACGTGATCGAAGAACTGCAAACAGGATCCTGAAATCAGCTAATTGGATTGCATCTTGCGGGAATGCTGCGCTTTCAACGCATTCTGCAGGCCATTCGGCTCCGCCTCGAGCAAACTAATCCCGAAATCCCGCTTTGGGAAGGTCGTGATCGTAACATCATCAAATTCTGCAGCTGGTTTCGCACACAGTTCGGGATTGCGGGTACATGAGAGAAGTGACTAGTGCATGTTGGCCCGATGCTCGTGACGAACACGAACACATGCGATCCTGTTTCCCCATCAGTCACACAGCCCGTTTGGTTTCCCAATGGCTGCCACCAAAAAAGCGCAACGCTTTGCTCCGCACCCGTAGCACTGAAGCGGTCATCATAGTGATATTCGAACTTGCTGCAGTGCAGGCTACCCCTATTTCCCGGTTCACGGAGTTGAGGCGTGGTTGTTGAAAAACCCATATGGTGCGATTACAATGAACTTCAAAACCCTCACCCAAACAAACAAAAACCTGTTCGCCCGACCATGTCATTGGGCTCTCTGAAGGTCCCAGCCGCAATCTCTCCTTCTCCCGCAACAGATCGGCAGCTGCCAGCTGGCCCAAAAGGTCCAAAGGAATGCCCTGCTCTTCGCCTTAGGCATAACCTCTCGGGGTTGGGGGGGTTGGGGGGGTTGGGCGGGTTGGGGGGGTAACCAGGTAGAGAGGCATTCGATCCACAAAAGCGGCAACCTTACAATAAGCCAAGCACAGCCACGTGCATTATTCTCCTCAGGCTTCTGGACTTCCTAGGTACCTTGCTGGCAAAAGACAACAGGCAAACGTAGAACGAGCCCTCTAAACATCCGCAAGCCTCAGGAGTGGCCCGCACATCACAAGGAGAAAGAGTCCCAGGCCGCAAAAGAAGACACAAGAGTTGTACACGTCGGTCCTTCTTTCCTCCCAGCAAGCTGTGAGACCATATCCCACCAACAAAAACATCCGAATGCATGCGCTTGCGCATGGCCTGTGGGGAGAAATAAACACCGTCCACCCGAGTCGCGTCGAGTCATGCACACTGATTGGCATCAAAATGGCCAGCACAAGGGCTGGCTGGCATAAACAAACGTCAGGAGCGGTCCTCTACTGAGCGTAAGCCAAAGAAGTGAAGGGAACCAGGATTGCTGGTGCCCTGCAGGGAATGAGGGAACGACCCTTACAAGCCATCCAACTAGTGGCTTCCTTTAAGGGGACAGGGTTCCTTCCCACACTCCCTCTCGCACCAGGGGCAATGCGCTCCCGAGTGGCACTTCTGTCGGAGAGCGCCCCTGGCCGGTCGACCTCCAAGGAAAGGCAACAGGTCTCAGAAACATGATGTGCCAAATGAGCCTTCCAGGGGCTTGTGACGGCAGCTTCCCAAGTGGGACCAACAGGCAACCATCTTCACTCAAAATAAGGACCAGCCCTATACCAATTCAAAATGATCCCAAGGCTCAACAGGACATAAGCCCATTCGCACACATCAGTTCCGCTATCCCGCGCTGGCCTCTGGGTCTCTCTGCCGCAGGCTTTGCCACGGCCTCCTGCCACAATTCGCGAACCCCAACAGATCTGGAACTTGATGTGTTAACCTTTCGCTTTATATTCCCAATCTTTGGGACCATGTCACACTGTCTAAGCAATATCTGCAACCGACTGATTGCAACCATACCATTGCCAAGCCTTGAATTGGTCAAACTTCGTGTCCATACGAGTCGCATGTGGCTTGCCTTGATGCACATAATTGACATAATTCCTGAAAAGTAGAACACCTCCGGATAAACACAAGCACAAAACAAAGTTGCCTCAGCGAGTCAGAAAGCCGAAACAACATGACGCAGCCTTTAACGATTGCAGGCAAATCCTAGGCAGGCAACCATTTTGCCACTCTGCAACATGGCTCAGCTGAGTCTTCGGCCTCAACTTGCTCTGCAGCCTGTGACGTAAGCGCCTTGCCGGGAGAAGCAGCCAAGCGTGGCGGAACAATGAACCACATGCCTACGTCCAACCTGCGGCAATCTGACAATGCTGCATCATCGAGGGCACAAAGCGGGCCTTTCCAAACACGCAACAGACGTCCAGAATAGTGTGTGCGTGTACACTTCTTCCTGTCAACCTGTTCACCCCAAGATTGAGAACCCAAGTCATCGTTCACCAAAAAAAGACAAAGCAAACAGACGAAGAAGAAGCAGAAGCACCCATGGAGCTTTCGAATCAACATCTGACAGCAAGGCAGCAGTTTTTCGCCACTCTCCCAGACCAGCAGGGAAACACAGGTTCCAACCTTCGCACCAGACCTGACACGCTGACACGACCAGCAACAGGTCGCATTTCCATATATATATATATAGATATAGATAAATATATATGTGCCCAATTGCAGCCAGGACAAGTTCATTTTCATGGGTGGAAGCAGGCACTCTCTCAAGGCCAGGAGAAATGCTGATGTGCCAAAAGCATCTAACTTTAACCACGAGTTTCCAGCTTTCAGGCAGCCACGAACGGCAAGTTGATCAATGGGTGCATGTTCAAATTAAAACGAGGGCTTGAACCCAGTCCGTGCCAGTGGCAACCTGTTGGAACCGTATCATGAAGTGCCTACTCCGAGTGTTTCATGGTGCGGGCAAGATGTCTTGCTCTCACGGAGTTTTAACGTGACCGTGAACAATTCTGAAGCCCGGCGATGGTCAAGATTCGATACATGACAAGGACACTCCCTGAACAGTTTCTCCCAGATACACACGTGGTAGCCCATGTAATCCTCTGATATGGATCGATGCTTCAAAAAAACAAAAAACACGCGCGGGGCGGAGTGGTTTTTGCCACCGGCTCCGGGAACTGGGGGCCCTGCAAAGCCTTTGAAGATCATCACAAACAAGTTCTTCCTGATGTTTAAAAAGTTGTCCGATTCATCACCCGTCTTGCAAGGCTTTTCAATCCCGCTTCATACTGAAGCCCTTGTCAGACAAAACGAAAACAACACGCTCCTGAACCAACGCCCGGGGAAGGGGGGAAACATTGCATCTGTAGTCAAGAAAGCTGATTTGACCCCCCTCCCGCCTCCACTCAGTTCCTTGGCGGATCAGCTCAACAACATTTAAACAAGCATGAAGCGCACTAGATCGCCTCCCAAAACGTGCCTCCGCCTTCCGCCACGGCTGTCGGGGGTCACCTTCGGATGCCCCCCACAAAGGCTGCCAGCGAACTACAGTAACCATGGCAAGTGACCAGGGATGGGTCCAAAGGCAAGCCTACGCGAACCACCCCTAGTCGGTGTCAAATCGTGCGTGCCTTTCCAGACCAAGCAACATGCATGCCTTGAATCAATCCTCACGTTGGGCAGGCCATATGATTGCTGCAAGTGTCTCGTCGCAAAGAAACGCATGAGCGTCTGCTGCAATAAGGCAAGGGAATCTATTCAGAACTTAGCTCCCAGCAGAATTCTGGTTTCAGTCTGGTCTGCGCAGCCAAGCAAATCCAACAATAGCACTCACTATATCTCACTATTACCATGCTATTACCGAGCATGGACAATGAAGCGCAACCCAGCACTCATCCATAAAAGCAAAATCCAACATGCAGCCACAGAATGGTCAAAATGCTATTTGGACGCTTTGCTGACCCCGGATTCAATCCTCATTCCTCTTAAATAGGGAGCCCCCTAATAATCAACTATAGTTGTTTTCTATTGCCCGGTGGGTAACAATGCAAACTGGAAGGCATGATCCCTTAGCACTAATTTTGGCGTTATATCTCGTATCCAATGGGCCACTCTGCCAAACATGCGGCGCTGCCCAAGCCAAAACGCAGCCATCCTCTAAAAATCCTCGCCTCACTTTGCCCTCCGCTTGCCCCTTGTTCCACTGCCTGAACCAAGTCACCCCCCCCCTTTGTTCCCCAGGGACCGGCGACTAAGCACCTAGGAGCTCCGCGAGGTCCGGGAAGCCGGCGGTGCTGGCCAGCGCTTCAGCGCGCTGGCCCTGCAGGTTGCCTCAACTGTCGCCGCGAGCGCCGCGAGCGTGGCGCCGTTGGCCAACCAATCGACCTGCTACAACCCGCAACCCATCCACCAGCTAGGTGGCCGAAGGCCGAGTTCGGGGTTAAGTTTGGCAGGTGCGAAAAGTCCCATGGTATGCTGGTTCGACACGTGTCACGACATATCATGGACCACAGGATGATAATGAGGACGGCAGCTATCGCCTGCAAGATAGAATCAGGAGCTTCCTTTAAGACCGAACTGTAGTTGGGGACGGGAATCGTTAAAGGGACTCAAGCAAGCGGGTGACGGACACTTTTCTCTATCTCTCTGAAATGAAACTCTTGGACAGCCAATGAGACCGGGGGCATGCTGCGTTTGTGCCGGAAAGTCACCTTGAGCCGAACTCCGTGCGACCCAGCCCCAAGCGCACGTCAGACTTTAGCTGCCAAGCGGCAGCTAAGGCGGCAAGCTGACGGGCCAAAGTAAAGAAATAGCAAACGCATGCCGCGCGAACAGCAATTCTTGACAAGCAGCACTGGCCAATGTCAGCCTTGGACTCCAGCAGGAGGAGGCAAAGACTCCTGGCCCGACCCCCAATTGCCCAGTGACCCTGGTAGACAAGAAACTGCGGGGGTTGCGCATTCTCTGCGGGGGAACCTGCCAAACATACAGGGAAAGGGAGCCGCTCAGCAACTGGTAACCCCTACCCGGTGCATTGAACCTGGTAGTTGGTCTGCAGTACATGGCCGTGAAAAACAAACATCCCGCAAGTGTGCAATCATCCCGGCAACCAGCAGGCACACCTCAGTTCAATGCCCATTGCACGGCTGCTTCCGGTTGCTTCCTCATGCCAATAATTGGACATACCAGCTAGAACTGAGCCTGTGCTATTAGGTAGAAGAACCGAAGAGCTGGCGTTTGAGCGCATCCTGAACACAAAGGACAAGGCCGTAGCCAAGGATGGCAAATTAGTCCCCCATGTGCTCCACACAACCTACCGGCCATGTGCAGATGTATGAGTTGCACCCTCTCACAGACCAAGACGAAACCTCCAACCAACCGATTTCTCAAGATCATGAAGACACCGCTGATTTTGATGACCTTTGTGTACCTCACAGCAGCCTTTGACTCTTTGATACTGTTGTGGGCCGCGGTCACTTTGCCCGTTCCCACGTCGGCCAGTGGGATGCGGAATGAAGCTCAGTGGGGATTTAGCGTCTGGCAATCCTGCCTGTCGCCCATGCAAGCAGCTTCCATGAGCGGCGTCTCGCCCATCATGTCACTGCCTCAGAATGTCCAGCGTCCCTCGAGCCGAGATAGCTGATGTTTGCAAAACACGCGCTAAATCATGCAACGCCATCGTGTTCGTTCACATGTTTGTCGTCTCAATACTTCTCATCGCCTTCTTGTTTAAAACCAAGTCCCCGGCCGACAACTACTCCTTTACATGAGGTGATTTGCCTCCGCAAGGGATCCATCTGGCATCCCCTTGCGGTGAAAATTCCTTGCGGGGCCCACCTTGTGAATTTCACGTTGGTTTTTCATTGTCAGGGTGGGTGGGCAGAAGCTGGCGGGAGAACTGTGTTGTCGGGGAAAGGGCTAGCCCAAAATCGGTTGCGCCACTTGTCAACAGAGGGTAGCACAACCCGGCTGGCAGGTTCACAACACAACTCACCCTGATATGCAAAAAGCAAAGCCGAAACTGCGGGCCTATGCAGAGGAGGGATTATTGATTGACTTTCATGCTTGTTGCGTCATGTTGATTCAAGCTTATGCATGCTCATGTTAGCTCCATGGCCGCGGCTGTCAGAAGTCTTGCGAGCAACATTGCCACCAAGCATCACCAAACATTTCCTCATGAACCACCAGCAGATACCAAACATGGGGGCAACTAGTGACCAACAATTCCAGTTGCAAACGTATCCAGTACACACTTCATGCGTGACACTCACCAAAGGCTGGTGGTCTTTTGGGATCTTTTGCGGGCCTCCTTTCCATCTTCCCGCAAAAAGCCGCTCGACCCCTGGCCCCGGCTGCAGCACGACCCGCGCCAAGCTGCGCCCAACCTCCGCGCGGGCGCTCAGCATCTCCCGCACCAGGCGACAGCTGGGGGCGCCGCAGCGGAGGTGCGACCTAGCCGCGCGTTCGACCCGCTGACAGAAACACGGCCAAGGACCGCCAAACAAATTGTATTGGCCGATAAAAAAATGGGAGTTGGTACCCTTTTTGGACCACCAAATGGGTGTATGTCCGGAGGGGTTTGGGCTTTGTCGAGGTTACCCTTTTTAGGCTGCTTGAAAGAGAAACCTAAAGGAACTTCTTTTCCTTGGGGGGCGTCCTCTATTCTGACGCATACCCCAATACCCAAAAATGAGCACTGACATCAGAAACCTTCGAATGATCATGTACGACTCTGACATCCCTTGCTCTAGCTAATCACAGTGGCTGTCTTATCCGTCCTCGTTGAAGCATTTCGGATGGCTATCTCTGGGCGAACACGTGTTCCTTGCGGACACTGACACGTTGTGCTTGAGAATGACACCCACTATGCCAGTGTAAACGTACAAGTGGAAACATCCCGTTTTGGGCAACACCAACTGGGTTGAGAACACAAACCCAACCACAGCATTTGAGGCCAGAGCAACGGGACGTGCCCACAAACCCGCCTCCTATTTCACTGGAAAGCCAAGTAGCTGTGATAGCTTGCGGTGCAAACTCGGCGACAACGTATGGGTTTCCTTCTCTGCTCTCTTTCTCTCTCTCTCTCTCTCTCTCTCTCTCTCTCTCTCTCGTCTCCTGGTCCAGCAGCTGGGGAGCTGAAATATTGCCCTCTTCAGCAGGCAATCCAAATTACCAAGCAACGTACGGCAAGACTGCATTTTGCTTTGATCATCTCAGCTCAAAATGGAGAATTGGCCAGTGAGGCAACTTCTGCGCAATTCCGCCTCTTGATCCTCGTGCCGTTTTACGTAAGCATGATGATCCATGATGAATAATGAATGTCAAAGCTGGGATGGCCGTCACATTCTGGGCCGACAAAATTCCAATGGCCGAGGCCCCCGGCAGCAAAGGCGTCTCACCCATGCCATTCACCGCGTTGATGTCGAGGCCATGCTCCAGCAACCTCTGCAGGACCTGGCGACGCCAACTGGGCTCATCGCTCCTTGGGGCGGAACAAAAAACCCGTCCATGGTTTCCGTTCGCTGGGAGAAGGACCCCCCCGTCCTTTTCAGGGAGGTAGTGGAAAAGGCGACCGGAAAGGACACCAATTTTTGAAGCAGTGCCCAAGAAGTCAATAGCCTTTGTTGACTCATCCCTCAACGCCAATGCCCAGACATGCCCAGACTGACACGGCCTCGGTACCGTCCGCCGTCAGGCCATGCAAAGCCGTGTTACCTGGTAGCGCACAGCTTGTCGTGGCAAGATTAACTGCCGGGACATGCCGGAACAGCCTAACCGATTCAGCCATATACAATGCAGGGGATTCCCAGACACAAACATACAGCACATGGTCAGTTTGCAGTTCTCAGAATGCAATGGTGCACCTTCCAGTCAGGCTCTTCACAATGCCCTGTTCCGTTCAAACTAGATTTAAACGACAACTGTCATACAAATTTACGAAGGACATTTCCGAAGGACAGCAAAACAAAGCGATCAGCCTTTGGCAAACACCATGCAACACGTGCGAGGTTGGTGAAGAAACGAGTGAATTACTCTAACCGACTAGTCAGAAACTTAGTTTGTAGGCCCACCTCCTGCTCTGGTAGGAGCTACCATGTCCTAACTTGTGACAATCCTTGAGCTGAGCCACCTTCGTCAGCCATGGCTCCTTGCAGGAAATCACATCTCAAACAAGACAGGTTTGCAAAACAGATTGGGGGAACCCGTCACCTGTTGCCGCAGCTGGAACTGAAGGCCGCAAAAGATCATGGCACCACTGTTGGCTGAATCCATGGTCCAAAAGCAGGAATCACACACTGTCTTTCCAAGATCGCTTCCCACAAAAGATAGATACAATCAAATATGTTGCCAAGTTTACTATAAAATTTCCAAAAGCTGAAAACAGGGATCCCCAAGTGAAGGACCTCTATCACACTGAGCTCGATATACCCGGTGAGCTCGCCACCATCAGAAACCATCTTGACAATATGGGTGTGGCTCAAAATTAACCAGGAGGGGTTACGCAGGTGTTGGTCCATGTTTCCACTTACCAGGGCAACCTATTTTGGAACCGGTTCTATTTGAGCCACAGCCATATGACCTTCGGATACTTTCCCTCGGTCCTTGCGGCCCGTCAGCTCGGTCAAGCGCCAGGCATCAGCTCCAGAAGCCTAGCGCTAAGCGCTTCGCCGGCCCAACCCTCTAAGACATCGGGCCGGACCCACGCTGACGGCTGCCAAGTTGCCAAATGCTTCCTCTGAGCTCGTAGTTCTCATGGCCAAGTTAGACCTAGCTGATTTGTAAGGCTTCCCCTATGCGTCTCTGGGCCGCTGTGCCTAATTGCTCTGTGAAATCATGCCTCCTGCTCCGCAAGCTAGGGTTGGAGCACCGCAATCATCATGCCGGCGCCAAACTTGAAATACCTCGAAGCTTTCCAAGTTACAGAAGCTATACCGTAAGCAAAGGCTGCTTCTTTTTATCGGCAGTACCTGCCAAAGCCCTCGCGTCGCTATGTTCGTGTGAGCTTGCGTGTTTGTGTGCGACATGAATCGCTAGCTACAGAAGCTGCGGGGCGCACAGGCAGTTGCAAGGCTGACATGACGGGCTTGAGGCTTGATCATTGGCTAGGGCCTTGTAGAGGAATCTCAGAATGGCTATTGCTACCGACCATGCCTGCCTGGCTTCCCTATGATACGGACGAACTGCGTTAATGTCGTTTGTGGCGGGCATCGAGGATTTCTGGCAGGCTTAAACAGGCCAGTGAATAAAATGAATAGAGTACCCCCCCCCCCCCCGCCTCCCCAAAGGACTCCAAAATCACAGTAGCAAAAAAAAACAAACTGCAAAACAAAAAGAGGAGGGCAAGGCAGTCAACCCAACCCCTGGCCCTTGAAGCCTTGCGCACCCAGCAAATGAGAGTGAAGCCCGGGTGTGGCGGAGCTAAAAGCCTGAAGCCTCCAGCCTTGCGGTCCTTGTCAACTCCCAAACGTCCAGCTTCCCCAAACTCCAGGCTTCTGACATGTTCTTGTTGGCCCAACTGTTTGTTCCCAAGGGGGCAATGCTGGTGAAGCTAGCCTTGAAGCTTCCCAAGAGCCCCCGAAACATACACAACGTAGCAATACTAAAGCCAATTGAATGCCCCAAGCAGTACTTAGAAGGACTGAATCTATCGACCTGGGCAGGGACCTCTGTTCTGGGACTCGCTTTTGTTGAGGGTTATGAATCCAAGGTGGGCATTGGCCCTATGATCGAAACGAAATCAAGCACAGCACAAAGTTCCCCATGCAAAGAGCTGAGCTGGTTAGTAGCTGCACTCCCTTGTTGGCTCATTGAGTGCCCACCGCGTGTTCAAAGAAGCCCAAGTAAAGCAAACTGACTCTCAGCTTATGAAATAATGGCTTAGCATGCCTGCAGTCCCAGAGGCATTGGGAAGTCTTGGTTAGTCTTCACCCCACCCCATGGCTTGTCAAAGGAACATGTGTTGCGTGCACCTTGGTCACCTTGTGTATTAAAAAGAAGCCGCTTTGAACTGATGGACGCACCCTTCGAACAACACGAAGCAACCAGGCGATATCCTGTACGTGGCAGTCGGACCTCTCGGATCTCCTGGTCGCTCAGCCCCAGGGCCATTGAGATGACGGCGCGCTCGAACCTCAGCGCAGGACCGCCGTACCGGAACGTCATGGCCGTCTTAGGTCAATGACACCCATCCCCATCGTTAGCGGTCAAAAGGAATCATCGAGAGGCACTCTTGGGCTGCAACGGCATGAAGATAAGCTGCCACCAAGCCCAGCCCAGTCCGACTTGGGGGAGTATACGTCGCAAAGTATGTTTCGGCTGGTGTACGTCTGTCCAACTTCCTGTAATCTTCCCGTGTTTTGTTTGTAGTCTTGCCGCAGTTCTCTACGCAGTCTTGCCGCAGCTTCCCGCAACCTCACAAACAGTAGTCTTCCTGCTTTGTCTTGGAGACTGCCAGTAGTTCTCACGAAGTGTTCCCCGTAGTCTTCTCCATCGTCGTGTAGTCTGACTTTCCCTTTATGACGCGGCATTCAGTGGGCTTGGCTGGCAAGGTTGTCACAATTACGTGGCTATCAAATACTTTATCAGACTTGGGCCGACGGTGTCTTTTCAAGAAACTAGTCCTTGCTCAAAGGCTTGCCCGGGGCTATCGACTAAACCAGTGTTTTCCCCCTCCGGGCTTTTTGGCCGCCTTAAAAGGCGAGGCCATGCGAGGCCTCGTGCCCCATTCAAGATGTACTGCTTGGCTGGACACGTTATCTAACGGCATTTAGAATCTAGCATGTGGCTTGTTGATGCCATGCTCAAGCACACATGCCCACCATTTCTCATACTGATACTAGTAGCAACAAAATCCGTGCCGCCCTCAAAACACGGTCAAACTGTGCAAAGTAAAACGCCATGCTTGAAGCATTGTAAAGCGCACAAAACAAGCAATAAAATTGAACAAATTGCAAACTTAAAATTCTGATGAGGGCCCAAGATGTTACAGCATGGCCCAGGCTGCAAGGCTTCATGAACTCACAATGGCTCATAGCTACGAAGTGATTTACGAAATTGAGGGATGCCAGCGCTGGAGCTTCAAGCAAATGAGAAGCAAGAGCTGACTGAGATGCGGACTCTGCTTCCTTCAGCTGCCCATCGCCCTTCTGGTCAAAGCTGGCGAAGACCTATGGCTCAGTGCTCCAGTGCTCAGGGAAGAAAACATGGCATTCAATTGTCTCGTAAATTCGGGACTTAGTGGGCCACGCCTGTCTGACCGCGGGGCTACGCCAGCATCAAGCATAATTACTTAGAACCTCAGCCGGACATCGGTCGGACAAGTTACTTGGATTGGGGGCGGCCCCCAGTTCTGCCTGCGTCTAAGTCTAAGCCCTGCATGATTGCTTGGAGTGCGTTGCAAGGTCTTTGACGACAGCTGCTTGCAAAGACTCGACGTTTGCCTAAGAGCTCTCCGCAGGGTCACGGCAGCCAGTGCGCCGGACCAAAACAGGAGAAGCCGACCAACCAAAGCAAACCAACCACACGGACATCACACAATTTGACAAAGAGACTCGCAGAGACAGGAATGTAACCATGCAAGCGCACACGCACATACAAATAACTGCAACAAACCTACGACTAAAAGTTCTAGGCAATGAAGCCCACCAATCAATTCGTAAGGTCCAGCCACATCCAGCGCGAAATCAGCCTTTAACATTTATCAACATCCTGACATATCCTGACATATTCTGAAGCAACCATCTTACCTTGATGTCTATTTGCCGCAGCGGAACCCAAACGCAATGTTCAGCTGCAAATTGTTTGATTGGCGTTCATAACTCTGGTAACATCCATTCAACCATAGTCAAACTACAAGAGATTCAAGTCTCCTCACAGTGGAGCTGATTGTCCTACCATTAAAGGAATTGACATTCTGACCTCCAACTGTACAAGTATTCCAAAACATGGCTCGAATGTGTGCCACTATAACCCAGCTCCCTCCCCGCCTGCAACCAATTCTGCCTTCTTGCCTGCAGGCCCTGGCGGGAGGAGATTGACAGGGGGCACATGATACTGTAGATGGACGAAATCCTGCGTCACTTTGAAACCATAAGAAACAATTGGTCTTTGGTATTTACAGGGGAATCATGTTTCCAGGGTTTCTTAGGTGGTGCAGGAGTTTGTCCATCCACAGTATGTCTGTCTCTCGCGACTGAAATTCATGTCACCTTCCCCCATGCATCTTAGATCGTGAGCAAGTCGGGTGAACCCTACAATCCTTGGAGTCCCTGATCCAGTTCGGAGGAAACGGTGGTCTAGCTTCTCCTGCTGGCAAACAACACAAAGTCTTGAATCAATAATAGACCAAGCCCAAAAAGTACTGGGCCGGATACAACGCGGCAGTCAATCTAATCGATGCAGAAACTCCTAGAAACTATGCTTGGCTTCTGCCGTTTCAAGCTGCTGCTTCACCGCAGGAAATCAACATTTGGGTCGGCTCCCACTTGTCACAAACAGCTCAAAATCAAAACATTGGCCAACGTTGGGGAAAACCAACATACAGCAAGGGGGAGCACAAAGCAGCGAGATCCAAAGTCGTTAGACATGTTGGTGGCTAGTACTGCTGCCTTCTGACAGGAAATTGGGGCACACTGAGAAACTGAGAGGAACCGCCCAGCCAAACACCGGGAGCCATGGAGGCGGGTGACCAGCATTGCTGCGAGGTGTTTCATACATGCGCATAACAGCCATCTTAGGGCCACTTGCGCAGCCACCATGGAAGGTTAAGCTGCAAAACACGGGCCAGGCAGTCGATTTCTCTGCTTCGAAATGACTCCCCAACATGCCTTTGGCAAAACGGCGCAACTGATTTCACGTATACATGTATGCTTGGGCGCTGGCACGGCGGACGCGGCTCAGCAGAACCCGTGCCTGGATCAAAACCCAAGCTTGTCATCTTCCAGGGAGGTTAGAGAAAGAGATGCTATCTCCTGCAACCCTTCCTCAAGGCATGCTCTATTTAAAGGCCTGCTGCAAGAGGGGTCCATGCTATGTGAAACAGAAACTTGCGGCGAAACAAGCAGTCAATGCTAAGCCGTTTCAATGTTGGCACTCATTTGGCGCGTGCACATATCCGGTCAGACTGCCAGAGACAAATTCTGTC